TTTCCATGAAAACATACATGAAATGAGTTTGAATAGGAAATATAGCAAAATGCATGGTTAGAAATAATGATTTTTAATTGAAATTATAATTGTGTCCTCAAAGAATCCTCCATGTGCAGCAATTACAGCCTTGCAGACCTTTGGCATTCTAGTTTTCAGTTTGTTGAGGTAATCTGAAGAGATTTCACCCCATGCTTCCTGAAGCACCTCCCACAAGTTGGATTGGCTTGATGGGCACTTCTTACGTACCATACGGTCAAGCCGCTCCCACAACAGCTCAATAGGGTTGAGATCCGGTGACTGTGCTGGCCACTCCATTATAGACAGAATACCAGCTGACTGCTTATTCCCTAAATAGTTCTTGCATAGTTTGATGCTGTGCTTTGGGTCATTGTCCTGTTGTAGGAGGAAATTGGCTCCAATCAAGCGCCGTCCACAGCGTATGGCATGGCGTTGCAAAATGGAGTGATAGCCTTCCTTCTTCAAGATCCCTTTTACCCTGTACAAATCTCCCACTTTACCACCACCAAAGCACCCCCAGACCATCACATTGCCTCCACCATGCTTGACAGATGGCATCAAGCACTCCTCCAGCATCTTTTCATTTGGTCTGCGTCTCACAAATGTTCTTCTTTGTGATCCGAACACCTCAAACTTTGATTAATCTGTCCATAAAATTTTTTTCAAATCTTCCTCTGTCCAGTGTCTGTGTTCTTTTGCCCATCTTAATCTTTTCTTTTTATTGGCCAGTCTGAGATATGGCTTTTTCTTTGCAACTCTGCCTAGAAGGTCAGCATCCCGGAGTCGCCTCTTCACTGTTGACATTGAGACTGGTGTTTTGCGGGTACTATTTAATGAAGCTGCCAGTTGAGGACCTGTGAGGCGTTTGTTTCTCAAACTAGACACTCTAATGTATTTGTCCTCTTGCTCAGTTGTGCACTAGGGCCTCCCACTCCTCTTTCTATTCTGGTTAGAGCCAGTTTGCGCTGTTCTGTGAAGGGAGTAGTACACAGCGTTGTAAGAGATCTTCAGTTTCTTGGCAATTTCTCGCATGGAATAGCCTTCATTTCTCAGAACAAGAATAGACTGATGAGTTTCAGAAGAAAGTTATTTGTTTCTGGCCATTTTGAGCCTGTAATCGAACCCACAATTGCTGATGCTCCAGATACTCAACTAGTCTCAAGAAGGCCAGTTTTATTGCTTCTTTAATCAGCACAACAGTTTTCAGCTGTGCTAACATGATTGCAAAAGGGTTTTCTAATGATCAATTAGACTTTTAAAATGATTAACTTGGATTAGCAAACACAACGTGCCATTGGAACACAGGACTGATGGTTGCTGATAATGGGCCTCTGTACGCCAATGTAGATATTCCATTAAAAATCAGCCGTTTCCCAGCTACAATAGCCATTTACAACATTAACCATGTCTACACTGTATTTCTGATCAATTTGATGTTATTTTAATGGCCAAAAACAAGGACATTTCTAAGTGACCCCAAACTTTTGAACGGTAGTGTGTATATATACAGTGAGGGAAAAATGTATTTGATCCCCTGCTGATTTTGTACGTTTGCCCACTGACAAAGAAATGATCAGTCTATAATTTTAATGGTAGGTTTTTTTGAACAGTGAGAGACAGAATAACAACAAAAAAATCCAGAAAAACACATGTCAAAAATGTTATAAATTGATTTGCATTTTAATGAGGGAAATAAGTATTTGACCCCTCTGCAAAACATGACTTAGTACTTGGTGGCAAAACCCTTGTTGGCAATCACAGAGGTCAGACGTTTCTTGTAGTTGGCCACCAGGTTTGCACACATCTCAGGAGGGATTTTGTCCCACTCCTCTTTGCAGATCTTCTCCAAGTCATTAAGGTTTCGAGGCTGACGTTTGGCAACTCGAACCTTCAGCTCCCTCCACAGATTTTCTATGGGATTAAGGTCTGGAGACTGGCTAGGCCACTCCAGGACCTTAATGTGCTTCTTCTTGAGCCACTCCTTTGTTGCCTTGGCCGTGTGTTTTGGGTCATTGTCATGCTGGAATACCCATCCACGACCTATTTTCAATGCCCTGGCTAAGGGAAGGAGGTTCTCACCCAAGATTTGACGGTACATGGCCCCGTCCATCGTCCCTTTGATGTAGTGAAGTTGTCCTGTCCCCTTAGCAGAAAAACACCCACAAAGCATAATGTTTCCACCTCCATGTTTGATGGTGGGGATGGTGTTCTTGGGGTCATAGGCAGCATTCCTCCTCCTCCAAACACGGCGAGTTGAGTTGATGCCAAAGAGCTCCATTTTGGTCTCATCTGACCACAACACTTTCACCCAGTTCTCCTCTGAATCATTCAGATGTTCATTGGCAAACTTCAGACGGGCCTGTATATGTGCTTTCTTGAGCAGGGGGACCTTGCGGGCGCTGCAGGATTTCAGTCCTTCACGGCGTAGTGTGTTACCAATTGTTTTCTTGGTGACAATGTCCCAGCCTCCTTGAGATCATTGACAAGATCCTCCCATGTAGTTCTGGGCTGATTCCTCACCGTTCTCATGATCATTGCAACTCCACGAGGTGAGATCTTGCATGGAGCCCCAGGCAGAGGGAGATTGACAGTTCTTTTGTGTTTCTTCCATTTGCGAATAATCGCACCAACTGTTGTCACCTTCTCACCAAGCTGCTTGGCGATGGTCTTGTAGCCCATTCCAGCCTTGTGTAGGTCTACAATCTTGTCCCTGACATCCTTGGAGAGCTCTTTGGTCTTGGCCATGGTGGAGAGTTTGGAATCTGATTGATTGATTGCTTCTGTGGACAGGTGTCTTTTATACAGGTAACAAGCTGAGATTAGGAGCACTCCCTTTAAGAGTGGGCCCTAATCTCAGCTCGTTACCTGTATAAAAGACACCTGGGAGCCAGAAATCTTTCTGATTGAGAGAGGGTCAAATACTTATTTCCCTCATTAAAATGCAAATCAATTTTATAACATTTTTGACATGCGTTTTTCTGGATTTTGTTGTTGTTATTCTGTCTCTCACTGTTCAAATAAACCTACCATTAAAATTATAGACTGATAATTTCTTTGTCAGTGGGCAAACGTACAAAATCAGCAGGGGATCAAATACTTTTTTCCCTCACTGTATACAAATATTAAATGGTATTGAAAAACCAACCTGTGGCTATTTCCAAATACCCCAGTATACGGTATACCGCCCTAGCCTAGTGCAGACACAGATCCTCTCCACGTCACCTGGTAGGACCGGCCTGCCAGGTAGGATGCAATCCAAGAGTGTGCAGAGCCTGGGACGCCCAGCCCTGAGAGAGTGGAGAGGAGGAACTGATGGTTCACGGTGTCGAAGGCAGCGGGTAAATCTAGGAGGATGGTGGTCCTCTGTAGCTCAGCTGGTAGAGCACGGCGCTTGTAACGCCAAGGTAGTGGGTTCGATCCCCGGGACCACCCATACACAAAAATGTATGCACGCATGACTGTAAGTCGCTTTGGATAAAAGCGTCTGCTAAATGGCATATTATATTATTATTATATATTACAACAGAGGAGTGAGAGTCAGCTTTGGCAGTGCGGAGAGCCTCCGTGACACAGAGGAGAGCAGTCTCGGCTGAGTGACCCGTCTTGAAGCCTGACTGGTTAGGGTCAAGAAGATTGTTCTGAGAGATAGCGAGAGAGTTGATCAGAGAAGGGATACCAGTCTGGAGTTTTTTATGTCAGAGGGGTCGAGTGTTGGTTTCTTGAGGAGGGGAGCGACAGTGATCAGGGATTAGTTGATGAGGAATGGGAGAAGGTCTCCAGAGATGGTCTGGAGGAGGGGATGGGGTCGAACTGGCAGGTTGTCGTGCAGCCGGACCTTACTAGTTGCCGGATTTCATCTGGAGAGAGAGGGGAGAAAGAGGTCAAGGCATAGGGTAGTTCTGTGTGAGTGGGACCAGTGAACTCAATAGGCTGAGTGAATGAGGAGCAGATGTCGTCAACCTTCTTTTCAAAGTGGTTGACAAAAGTCGTCCGCAGAGAGAAAGGAGGGAGGGGGTGGAGGATTAAGAAGGTGGAAAAGAGTTTCCTAGGGTTAGCGGTAGAAGCTTGACATTTAGAGTGATAGAAAGTGGCTTTATCAGCGGATACAGAGGAAGGTCTACAAGAAAGGCTAATAGTTTGTTAACACCATCTGCTTTAAGTCGCTCACAAAACAGTAATTCAAGATAATCTAAATGCATATTCCAATTAAACTGATTGAGATCAAATGATTGGCATGCAGCTTGGACATTTCACCGGTAAAACGTGAATAATTATCATTCGCAATTGACAGTGATGATGGCCTATTTTAAAATGAGGTAGGCTATGCCTAACTTGGTGTTTGAGGGTATTAAAAATATAAAATGTTCTTGAGACAATGTGGGTGGGCATAGACAGGCGTTGCAATTGGAGGATGGATTTTATGCATAGGCCTATTCTACAATGATATTCAATAGGCTACATTATTTATTTTAACCTTTATTTAACTAGGCAAGTCGGTTAGGAACAAATTCTTATTTACAATGACGGCCTACACCAGCCAAACCTGGACGACGCTGGGCCAATTGTGCGCCTCCCAATCACAGCCGGATTGTGATACAGCCTGGAATCGAACCAGGGTCTGTAGTGACACCTCTAGCACTGAGATGCAGTGCCTTAGACCGCTGTGCCACTCGGGAGCCAGTCGATACAAACTCTGATTGAGAAATTATGACGTCATTTTAAAAAAGTGTTCATGCCACATTTAAAAGGTAATAGACTTTTACAGTTAAATTACATGTATCTACTATAAAACCCATTTTAAAAAAGTGCCCCCTATTGAAATCAAATGCCCATCCAACTGATTCGTTCTGGCACCGGCCCTGCTTAGTAGTAGACAAGGATCATGTTTCTGCAAGCATCATTCATCGTCTATAGCCTAGTGTGCAGTGCATTTTAACAGCTGGCTGATACAACAAAAGTTAACATGCATGTCTTTGTAGGGCGATCGTATGTGGAACTTCGCTGTAGCCGTATTTCTGGTGGGGCTGTATGGCAACAGCCTCCTGCTCACGGCTGTGTACGGACTGGTGGTGGCGGGGTCAGTCCTGCTGCTCGGAGCCATTATCGGTGACTGGGTGGATAAAAACCCCAGACTCAAAGGTATGCAGCCATAAGTAGGCTTACTCTACAGTGTGTCTGAACAGAACTGAATACACTGAACAGGAATTAACAATATACATAGTCAAAACATGACTTGATCATTCATTTAAAATGTTTGGGATTATTCTCTATTCGATACCATTCAAAGAACCCATTGAGTGATTTACTCAGACAGAAATCAATTGTTTGTGACCACCAACCCTATGTCTCTAATGCTTATCCTCTAATCTGATAGTGGCCCAGACTTCGCTGGTTGTCCAGAACTTTGCTGTCATACTGTGTGGGATCCTCTTGATGGTGGTTTTCCAGTTCAAAGAACAGATTGCAGAGTTATACAATGGATGGGTTCTGGTAAGATTGCATTTCCTAGACTTTTCATACTGTTATGATCATTAAGTGGTCATTTTAAACTGATAACTGAATGGTTATTTGCAGCGAAAGCATTTACCCATTTGACAAGTACAATGTTCTGACCTAAGTCTACTATGATGTGAAATCCAGTATGTAATTTCAACAACCTTTACATATCATTTCAGCCTCTGGACAGTAGCCTAGCCTACACATTGAACATTCGTCCCCCATGAATGATGCAGCGCCCCCTCCTTAGGCCAATTAGGAATATTATTCAAATTTATGTTACGTGGATTAATGCGAAAGAGAAAAAAAAAACATTGTCAACATCACACTGGCTGTATTTCTGTATTTTGAAAGTTATATCTCTTGAAACTTGATTGCTGACATGCAAAACATTTTGGGAATATATCAACAATGGACTAATGAAACAAAAACCAAAAGATAGTTTTGGGGGGGAGTTTTCCTTTAATTGTCAACTGCATCTGTATGGAATGACAGTGCCTATAGATAGTCTACACACCCTTTCAAAATGTTCACCTTTTGTAAATGGGCAGAGCTTAAAGATCCTTATGGGAAACTTGTTACTCATGAGGAGATGCATGTATGTACATATTGTCATGACTGTAGCTCAAAAGGGACATGGGCCTCATTTATAAACCGGGCGTACATACAAAATATACCCCAAAATGTGCATGCGCCAGTTTTTATGCAAATGTTGTCATTTATAAAAATGTATCTTGAAGTGAGAATGTGCTTAACTCCCTGCAAACTCTAGACCATGCATACCACATCTGCTAGTGGTTTAAATATTGTATTGCAACCTGGCAGGTAAGTATATTGTGCAAATGGGGGATATGATGAAAAGCTTATTCATAAAAAACAGGAAAACATGTTAACAAGAATGCAGCCATTTGCCATTAGTGAGAAGAGCGAAAATCAGTTTTATTTTTAGAATCTTAGACATAGGAATCTTTTTCCTATTTATTTTATTTTCATAATCATTGCAGAGTATATTCCTCACTTTTTCTGGCCGTGATGTGTTCACATTCCCGACGTAGCCAGACAAGAAATTACCATGCGCATCTCTCATTTAATTGGACCTAGTAGCCTAGGCTATGTGTATTTCACGTTTTGCAATCCCAAAATGCAGCGCGGTTTACAATATACAGTCGAATTTAACAGGTATTTTACATTGAAGTAGGCCTATGTATGCTACTGTTAGTACTGTATTATTATTATTAATAATATTTTTTAGACGTTTCAGAATTCAAGGGCAGTACATCATATTTAGGCTGGGGAAAAGTCGATGCAAAACATTGTTGAATTCAAACGTTCTGCTGACAGGTCCACAACAATTTGCCATTGTTTTCTTCTATAGAAACGGACATAATCCTTAGCCAGAAACAGTTCATTTTTAATTTTTTCATTCTGCGAACAGAGTAAATAGACCAGTAGCTTATATAAAATATTTGACAGTATGGGTAGGCTACAGTATTGGTGTGCAATAGGAGCGCAACATCATTGTACTATTTAATCTCAGAGCCTATACCAAGGCAGAACAAAGAAACTCACTAATCTTTTGATAAACTAAATATTGAACAACAATGTGTCTTTTGCATAGAAGTGTGGGCTGTAGCATTTAGCCTACTTTTAAATTGTTTCGAATATACAATCAATCTTGCAGAATGTGCAGAAAGGCACTCGCTATATAGGCCGCAAGCATGTTTAGTTTGAAAAAAATCACTGCAAAATATCAAAACATTCTGCCTACACCTCTACAGAAATGTGATCAAAATTGACATTGCTCTTTCTTATAGAAACTGCCATGGCCTAATTCCAATAGTTTCAAATTATACATCAAATAAAGGGCGTTATTGTCACCATAAAAGGTGAATGAAGGGCGTTTTCTAGGCAGAGTTTTAATGCTTGTTCATGCGCACAGTTTTTTTACGACATGTCTGATTTATAACGGGAAGCAGTGTCCTGCCTGAGTTGCTAAATCAAATCAAGGGAAAATCTTTTGATTCTTAAGATTACGCAAGGATTTGCCGGGAAACGTGTTTGGCTTCTTGAAGAGGCTCTTTCTTTTGGTGGAATATGTAGACCCAAATGAGCAAATGTAATTTACATTCTACAGCAAGTCTTTGTCCCATGGAAGAAAAACTGTGCCTTGTTTTATGGTTGATAGAAGAAGACTGTTGCAATAGCGAGTGTTACAATCTGCTGGCTGCTACACTATCATGATCATGAACAAAGTGTCTCTCACGTGGTGTAGTTAGTGTATTGTGGGACAAATCGTGCATTTGTGAAGGGGCCCTTGGATTTTAAGGAGGGGGAGGGGGGTGCTGTACATTTTCTGGTATTTGTGTGTTTCTGGAGGTGGTGGTGAAACAGGAGATTGAGTGTCTTGTTCATGACTGTGTAGTCAGCGGATTCTTCTAGGGCCGTCATGTGAGAGAGGGAAATGCTGCCTGGCCAGTTGAGCCAGTCCATCTCTATCCCCCTGGTCAGAACAGCTGCAATTATAATGTACAAAAAAAAAAAAACAGCAGGCCTGTTTATTTCAGTCTCACACTGGATTATGGTTGTTGAGTGTAAGAACACATGTTGAGGCCAAAAATATTGTTGTTTTTTGAAAGTACATTTAGAAAGGACATTTGCACACCTTAAAAATGTTTTTATGTTTTGTTTTTTACCAAAGCAAACAAAAATGTATAGTTTTCTTGGTTTTCAGACATGCTGCTATATCCTGGTCATCTCCATAGCCAACATTGCTAATTTGGCCAGTACTGCCATGTCAATTACCATCCAAAGAGACTGGGTGGTGGTTGTGGCTGGACAGGACAGCAGCAAACTGGCAGGTCAGTCTCCATGGGAAACCAGCCCAAATCAATAGGGCTCATGTGAAAAGACCTTTATCGCCTTGCAGTGGTGTGACCTTTGAACCCAATCAAAGCTAAATCACAAATTCTTATTTTATAACTGTCCGTTTCACCTGGGTTCACCAAGGCTTTAAAGCAGATATTATACAGTAAAAATGCATCATTTCCGCACAGCTAATCTCAAAGAAATGGTTTCACAAGCCATAAATACTAACAGTTAACAAATGACCAGAGCTGTGTGCTACATTTTGCTTGTCTGCACCAGTGAAGTCAATTAACCTGAAGTGTATTGCACTGTATAACCTTCAGGAAACCTATAAAAATCCCTGACATGAATTAGTGGAAAAACCATAAAATAACACTTTGGCTGTGTCCTATCATGTCACAGTCACTTAAAGCATCTTCTCTACTAAAAGCTGTCAATCAAGTCCTTTCAGATAAGGTCATAAGGTAAGCAGATAAAAATTAGAAGCCATGTTTGACTCCTTGAACTTCTTCTGTCAGCAAATATTGTAATTCAGGGAAACATGTAACTTAAGACAGGGTTATGGTTGGGCGGTATCTAGATGCTGTTCCTGTACCATACCTTTAGGATGCCCCAAACCCCAAAAATGTAATTATTATTTTTCACAGTATTGAAAATCACACCATCGGTATTTCAAAATACCCTGGTATACGGTATACCGCCCAAACTTAGACAGGGTAAAGTAAAATATGAATTTACTTTTCCTGTGGACAATGGACAATAATGTAATTATGCTCTTAATAGACATGAACGCCACAGTGCGGATCATCGACCAGCTGACCAACATTCTAGCGCCCATGTTGGTGGGCCAGATCATGGCTTTCGGCTCCAACTTCATTGGCTGTGGCTTTATTGCGGGCTGGAACCTGTGCTCTATGTGCCTTGAGTACGGTCTGCTATGGAAGGTCTACCAGAAAACCCCGGCACTGGCCTTGAAGGCTGGCAAAAAAGAAGATGACCAGGAACTGAAGCAACTTAACTCCCTGAAAGGTATGGTCCTCAATGAACATCACTGACAGACATGTCTTAATGTCAATGAACATAAGTGTTCTTGTAAGATCTTGCAAAATAAAATTGTCAACCAAATATACATCTGTTGTTGGGCTGGCCCTCCCTTAGAGAAAGACTAAATGATGAGATCTGATCCGTGTACAGTCTTGTGGCCCCAGAACAGTCACTCATGTCTGTCTGTTCTTCCTCCTGTGGTCTGCAGACCTGGAAAGCGGCAAGGGCCCAGTAGAGGGCTCCGAGCTCATGAACGAGACGGCTGTCGTCAAGGCCGACTGTCCCAAGAAGACTGGCTGCTGCTACCAGATAACAGAGCCCCTGCGCACCATCCGCGATGGCTGGGTGGCCTACTACAACCAGTCCATATTTTTTGCAGGCATGTCACTGTCCTTCCTCTACATGACGGTGCTGGGCTTTGACTGCATCACCACGGGCTACGCCTACACCCAGGGCCTCAACGGCTCTGTGCTCAGCCTGCTGATGGGCGCCTCAGCTGTGTCAGGCATCTGTGGCACGGTGGCCTTCACCTGGGTTCGCAAGAAGTGTGGCCTGATCCGCACAGGCTTCATCTCGGGTGTGGTGCAGCTCTCCTGCCTAATGCTGTGCGTGGCGTCCGTCTTCGCACCGGGCAGCCCCTTCGACCTCAGCGTTTCGCCCTTCCAGGACATCTACAGCCACCTGACCGGGGACAGCGGCACCCTACCAGAGGCCGACCACCCGGTTAGCGTGCTAAACATCGATGATCAGGGTCTGCTGGTCAACGGTTCGACCGCACTGCCTGCTGAAGAACTGCCGCCTCTGCAGTCCTACCTGTCAGTCAGCCTGCTGTTTGCAGGGGTTATTGCTGCTAGAATTGGTGAGTAACTCAAAAGTCCACACTGGGAAAAGTGCTTGATGAGTGCTGCTATGTCATGTGTTAACAGTTACGTAGGCACAGAAGTTAATTGTTTGAGGAAGTCTAAAACACAATGTCACAGCCTTCTGTAGAGTATGAACTTGTTGTAAAAGGCAGGCACCAGCCACCACTTGGAGGGATGTCGGCTCCAGATCCGGTGTTAATGTCTCCACAGAGCAATATTGGCAACCTTTGATTCCAATATCTGCTGATAATTACAGTCATAGCGATGATTGTCTGTTCCTATATCATTTTTATGTGGCTGTAAAAATGCCAATCTAAATGACTGCTGTGCTGTTTTCCCCTCTGCAGGTCTATGGTCCTTTGACTTAACCGTGACCCAGCTCATCCAAGAGAATGTGATCGAGTCGGAGAGGGGGGTGATTAACGGTGTCCAGAACTCCATGAACTACCTCCTGGACCTGTTGCACTTCATCATGGTGATTCTGGCGCCCAACCCTGAGGCCTTCGGCCTTCTCGTCATCCTCTCCGTCTCCTTCGTGGCCATGGGCCACATAATGTACTTCAGGTTTGCCTTCAAGAGCCTCGGGCGGCGCCTCTTCCTCTGCTGCTCGCCAGAGCAGAAGGCCCAGACCCTCCCGGACTCTCCCTCCTCGCTTCCCACCATCGTGTAACCCATTAAAGAGACGCTGTCCCTGCTAACAGCTCTACCTGCAGCGCACACTATTGTCCCCTCCTCCTCCTGCCCGCTAGCTATCAACCTAATAAACATGCTTGCGTGTAGCCCCCACAGCGCTAATGTATCTACTTTTGTGCCTAACCCTAGCATGTGCCGTCCTTTGCCATTGTAGATATATCATTAGCCGTTTTGCGGAAGGGGGAAGAGTAGTGCGGCCACAGAGAAGCAGCCCCTCACAGACAAATAGCTCAGCTTGAATGAGGCCTTATAGAGAGGTGTCACAAATAAACATCTCTTCTCCCTACTTCCAATATTTCAATCTAGCTGCTTTGTTATTCAAGGTGCTGCAGCTAGAGCTACAGTAAATGAGGGAGGAAAAATGCAGGTATTGCTTGCAGTTACTACGGTTACAGCTGCATACTACTCAAGGATGTTCTGTGGCTCTAGTGTTGTTTGCATCTCATTACAGCTCTGCATCAGCCATAGGATTTTCTTTTCCACATTGAAGCTATTTGTTTCTCAGTAGTTCATTGTTACTATAGCCATTCATGTTAGCGTTTCAAAAGACTCAGTTACTTAAGCTTTAGTAATTGACAATGATTTAGATTACCGGTTTTACCAGTGAGAAACAGGTTCTTGCTTATTTTGCTTAACGAGCCTGGGATAAAGTCTCTTTAATACATGGTTATAAGGGTTATGCAAATTATTTATTCAAGGAGTGTAGATAGATAGATATACTGAATCAAAATATAAATGCAACATGTAAAGTGTTGGTCCCATGTTTCATGAGCTGAAATAAAATATCCCAGACATTTTCCATATGCACAAAAAGCTTATTTCTCTCAAATTTTGTGCACAAATTTGTTTTCATCCCTGTTAGTGAGCATTTCTCCTTTGCCAAGATAATCCATCCACCTGACAGTTGTGGCATATCAAGAAGCTGATTTAACAGTGTGATCATTACACAGGTGCACCTTGTGCTTGGGACAATAAAAGGCCACTCTAAAATGTGCAGTTTTGTCACACAACACAATGCCACAGATGTCTCAAGTTTTGAGGGAGTGTGCAATTGGCATGCTGACGGCAGGAATGTCCACTAGAGCTGTTGCCAGATAATTGAATGTTAATTTCTCTACCGTAAGCCGCCTCCAACGTTGTTTTAGAGAATATGGCAGTACGTCCAATCCGCCTCACAACCGCAGACCAGGTGTAACCACGCCAGCCCAGGACCTCCACATCTGGCTTCTTCACCTGCGGGATTGTCAGAGAGGGGGAGCGGATGAGTATGTATGTCTGTAATAAAGCCCTTTTGTGGGGAAAAACGAATTCTGATTGGCTGGCTCCCCAGTAGGTCGGCCTGGCTCCCAAGTGGGTGGGCCTATGCCCTCCCAGGCCAACCCATGGCTGTGCCCCTGCCCAGTCATGTGAAATCCATAGATTAGGGCCTAATTTATTTATTTCAATTCACTGATTCCCTCATATGAACTGTAACTCAACAAAATCTTTGAAAATTGTTGCAAGTTGCATTTATATTTTTGTTCTATATATTATATATATATTCTCAATGCATTATCAGTATTGTCTCTCAGCCATGATGGTGCTAATGTGCTAGTTATAGCGAACAACTGAAAAACGATGCATTCACATTAACGCTCTCAATGACCAAAGTGGACATTCTTATCCAGCATAAAAGGAAATGAGGTAAAACCTGTTTTCTCTATGAGCATTCCAAATATTATTTTGATGTGAAGTGAAAATGAAACTTGTATAGGCTCATTAACGCTTTTGTAGACACCTCGTGTACAGATCTCAAACCCCCCTTGCAATTGTTATACTGTAGTTGTTTGTCATCATTGATTTCTCTGTCTTCAAAGGTGATTTTTAATCGTGATTGTTACACAGGCACTTTAACTGATTCTTACTATGTCCATAATAATGAAAAGACCTTCAGGCACTTTCAGGCATTGCTTCAGCATTTTGCACAAGGATGAGCTCCTGCCTAGCCTCCCCACTTTTTAGGCTAACTGAAGGACTTTTCATTTACTGGCAGGCCCATGATACAGAACCATCATTACGCTAATCTTTGCCACAAAAGCGCACACAGCACAATCCTAAACCCAGACACCAGGTGTGAGCATGGAAAACCATACCACACTTTTTCCTGTGGGTGACTTTCAAAATCAAGTTTACCTCAGATTTTCCTCTCCCCCCCCCTAAGTCCAGCAGACCTCCCCACCAGTGTTCCTTTGCCGAAGTAGAAAGTCAGCATCTTCAGGTTGTCTTAGCTGGCCACTAACTGCCATTACACCAACGGTGCTGTAGCCAGGCAAAACGGTAGGTTTGTAGCTCTTGGAGCTCTCCATCACCACTGTGAAGGTTTGCAGAAGCTTTATTTTTAAAACATGCTTCAACTCGCTGTAATACGCAACAGACTTCACGGTTTTTACCTCTGCTCATGAAAACCATGGCTGACCTATGCCACGGAGGTGATTTGGTACTGAAAATATTATGGTTGGAGAGAATAGCCACGGCACTTGAAGAGAACAGTGAGGCCTTTCTTCAGCCCCTGGCGGTTGTACTAAAGACTCCTGTAGGCTGATGTGGAGTCAGACAGGTATGCAGGTTTGTGGAACTGCAGCTGGTGTTCTATAGAGAAATGCCAGCAACTGAGCACAATGTTAATGTTTGGCATGGATTACCCCCCAAATGTAAAGTAAGCACATTCTTCAGAACAAAGCATTTGTTCTGAACATTTATTCAGGAATACTTCATACAAGGCCATATATATTTTTCATACAAGTAACAACAGCCGTCAATCAATACATACTGTACTGGATGTAAAATCATTTGTATATGACATTGTCAGATTGTTGTCATTGTCTTTAAATGTTGGATGCCTTTTTTAACAACTTTTAAATGTTTTTATATACTAGTGTTAACAGTTGTTGCTAATTGAGAAGTTTTCTGAACAACTGAAATTGTTCTCTGCCTCGTGTGTACAAAGCAATGCTCTCATGCATAAACCAAGAAAATCATGAGTACAACATGCCAATGGACCATACCGTCCATAATCTCCCATCATTGTAAAATACTTTAAAACCATTGTTTAAATTTAAACAAAGAATATATCAAACAATCAAAAAATATTTTATCATTGTATAATCACAGCTTGCAACATTGGAGAAGTAAATTGAGGTTCGTATGCAAGAATCACATCACACTCCATTGTAGTGGAGGATGTTTAAAAGGCTTGTATTGCATGAGCTCTGAAATAAAAAGAAAATGTTTTTACATTCTTTCTCGTTTGTTTTTATGTAATCACAGGAATCCAAGTCATTGTACTGTACAAGAAGATGGCAGCCATTTTGAAAGGCCCCCTCAGTTGCTAGTCACCTGCTCTCTACCCAGGCCACCACTTAAGGGTCACATTCCATAGAGGGGTTAGTCACCATTTTTTTTGCCCCAGAAGACTGACTAAGCTGAGCTGTATGATCTGGACCTGTGTGCTCATGGGCGAAAGACAGAGTGACCTGGTTTCACACAACATGAGCGATAGACTGTGGCCAGTAGGTGTTGGCTAGCTTTTGTGGATTTGTGTCAGTGCTGCCTGTCCCCCAAATGCTCACAAGCTCTCCAATAAGCCTGGTTCATTATAGTGACACTCTCTCCCCAACAGTTACAAAAGCTCCTCCTCTTATTTTTTCAATTTCCTGCTAACTGAACACTTGTAATTTTAGTGACCTGTTATACACGGAGTATACCAAACATTAGGAACACCTTCCTAATATTGAGTTAGGGAGTGTTTGTTAATGTTTTGTACACTCAGTGTATAACCATGTACAATAGCCATACGTGACCTATGGCCTGACATTGCCCCTAGCACCTAAATTACACTTGACCTGGCTTTCTACCCTCAGTCCTTTCCATTCTGGTAAATCCAATTTGTAAGTTGCTCTGGATAAGAGCGTCTGCTAAATGACCTAAATGTAAATGTTAAATGGAATCAGGTTTACAGTCCCAGGTGATATTGGGTGACTAAGAGGCAAAACACAACTGACTAACTACACATCTTCTTATGGGCCAATAGGGGAACAAACTGAGGGTGACTCAGTTTCACCCCCCTCCCCCTCTCTGGAGAGTTCAAGGCAGTTTCCAAGTGAACCCGCTGCACCTCAGTTGAAGGTTCAGTGGCCATGAAGACGCTGCCGGTGACACACTACACTGGGCTGAGAATGAGAAACACTGAAGCAGACGGACATGCTTTGTGTTATCGAACTGGAGGAACAGAACAAATTTGAGCTGCTCTCTTGCGGTGCCTAGCCAAGCTTTTAGCTCATTCTTCCTCTTGAAGAACTGACCTAGGAACTACAGTGCCTTCCGAAAGTATTCCCACCCCTTGACTTTTTCCACATTTTGTTGTGTTACAGCCTGAATTTTAAATTATTGGGATTTTTGGTCACTGGCCTACACACAATACCCCAATGTCAAAGCGGAATTATGGTTTTAGAAATGTTTACAAATTAATGAAAAATGAACATCTGAAATGTCTTGAGTCAGTAAGTATTCAACTCCTTTGTTATGTCAGGCCTAAATACTTTCAGGAGTAAAAGTTTGCTTAACAACATGATTTTTTTTACTACCGCAGCTCTGTACCCAACACATACAATTATCTGTAAAGTCCCTCAGTCGAGCAGTGAATTTTAAACACAGATTCAACCAAAGACCAGGGAGGTTTTTCAATGCCTTGCAAAGATGGGAACCTATTGGTAGATGGGTAATTTTTTTTAAATAAAGACATTAAATATCCTTTTGAGCATGGGGAAGTTATTAATTACACTTTGGATGGCGTATCAATACATCCAGTCACTACAAAGATACAGGCGTCCTTCCTAACTCAGTTTCCGGAGAGGAAGGAAACCACTCAGGGATTTCACCATGTGGCCAATGGTGACTTTAAAACAGTTCCAGAGTTTGATGGCTGTGATAGGAAACTGAGGATCGATCAACAACATTGTAGTTACTCCACAATACTAAACTAATTGACAGAGTGAAAAGAAGGAAGCCTGTAAGGAATAAAAAAATATTTCAAAACATGCATCCTGTTTGCAACAAGGCACTAAAGAAATACTGCAAAAAATTTGGCAAAGCAATTAACTTTTTGTCCTTAATACAAAGTGTTATGTTTGGGGCAAATCCAATACAACACATCACTGAGTACCACTCTCCATATTTTCAAGCATAGTGGTGGCTGCATCATGTTATGGGTATGCTTGTAATCGTTAAAGACTGGGGAGTTTCTCAGGATAAAAAATTTACGAAATGGAGCTAAGCACAGGCAAAATCCTAGACAAAAACCTGGTTTAGTCTGCTTTCCACCAGACAAATGTACCTTTCAGCAGGACAATAACCTAAAACTCAAGGCCAAATATACACTGGAGTTGCTTACCAAGATGACAGTGAATATTCCTGAGTGGTCGAGTTACAGTTTTGACTTAAAGCTGCTTGAAAATCTATGGCAAGACTTGAAAATGGTTGACTAGCAATGATCAACAACCAATTTGAGCTTGAAGAATGTTGAAAAGAATGGACAACATTTTTACAATCCAGGTGCGCAAAGCTCTCAGAGACTTACCCAGAAAGACTCACAGCTGTAATCGCTGCCAAAGGTGATTCTAACATGAATTGACTCAGGGTGTGAATACTTACAGTGCATTCGGAAAGTATTCAGACCCCTTGACATTTTCCACATTTTATTATGTTACAGCCTTATTCTAAAATGTATTACATTTTTGTTTTTACTCAATCTACACACAATACCACATGACAAAGCAAAAACTGTTTTTTAGAAATTGCAAATGTATTAGAAATTAAAAACTGAAATATGACATTTACATAAGTATTCAGACCCTTTATTCAGTACTTTGTTGAAGCACCTTTAGCAGCGATTACGGCCGCGAGTCTTCTGGGGTATGATGCTAAAAGCTTGTCACACCTGTATTTGGGGAGTTTCTTCCATTCTTCTCTGCAGATTCTTTCAAGCGCTGTCAGGTTGGATGGTGAGTGTCGCTGCACAGCTATTTTCTGGTCTCTCCAGAGATGTTTGATCAGGTTCAAGTCCGGGCTCTGGCTGGGCCACTCAAGGTCATTGAGACTTGTCCCGAAGCAACTCCTGCGTTGTCTTGGCGGTGTGCTTAGGGTCGTTGTCCTGTTGGAAGGTGAACCTTCTCTCCAGTCTGAGATCCTGAGCGCTCTGGAGCAGGTTTTCATCAAGGATCACTCTGTGCTTTGCTCCGTTCATTTTTTCCTCGAACCTGACTAGTTTCCCAGTCTCTGCCGCTGAAAAACATCCCCACAGCATGATGCTGCCACCACCATGCTTCACCGTAGAGATGGTGCCAGGTTTCCTCCAGACGTGACGCTTGGCATTCAGGCCAAAGAGTTCAATCTTGTTTCTCATGGTCAGAGTTTTTTAGGTGCGTTTTGGCAAACTCCAAGCGGGCTGTCATGTGCCCTTTATTGAGGAGTGGCTTCCGTCTGGCCACTCTACCATAAAGGCCTGATTGGTGGAGTGCTGCATAGATGGTTGTCCTTCTGGAAGGTTCTCCCATCTCCACAGAGGAACTCTGGAGCTCATTCAGAGTGACCATAGGATTCTTGGTCACCTCCCTGACCAAGGCCCTTCTCCCCCGATTGCTCAGTTTGGCCGGGCGGCCAGCTCTAGAAAGTCTTGGTGGTTCCAAACTTCTTCCATTTAAGAATGATGGAGGCCACTGTGTTCTTGGGGACCTTCAATACTGCAGACATTTTTTGGTACCCTTCCTCAGACGTGTGCATCAACAAAATCCTGTCTCGGAGCTCTACGGACAATTCCTTCGACCTCATGGCTTGGTTTTTGCTCTGACATGCACTGTCAACTGTGGGACCTTATATAGACAGAAGTGTGCCTTTCCAAAGCATGTCCAATCAATTGAATTTACCACAGGTGGACTCCAATCCAGTTGTAGAAACATCAAGGCTGATCAATGGAAACAGGATGCACTGGAGCTCAATTTCAAGTCTCATAGCAAGGGGTCTGAATACTTATGTAAATAAGGTATTTGCAATACATTTGCAAGAAATTCTAAAAACCTGTTTTTGCTTTGTCAATATGGGGTATTGTGTGTAGATTCATGACTTATTATATATATATAGAGATATATAGATAGCTCTGAAAAAAATTAAGAGACCACTGCAAATTATCAGTTTCTCTGGTTTTACTATTTATAGGTATGTGTTTGGGTAATACTAACATTTTAGTTTTATTCTATAAACTGACAACATTTCTCCCAAAAAAAATATTGTCAATTAGAGCATTTATTTGCAGAAAATGACAACTGGTCAAAATAACAAAAATTATGCAGTGTTGTCAGACCTCGGATAATGCAAAGAAAATAAGTTCATGTTCATTTTTTAAACAACACAATACTAATGTTTTAACTTAGGAAGAGTTCAGAAATCAATATTTGGTGGAATAACCCTGATTTTCAAATCACAGCTTTCATGCGTCTTGGCATGCTCTCCACCAGTCTTTCACATTGATGTTGGGTGACTTTATGCCACTCCTGGCGCAAAAAAGCAGCTCGGCTTTGTTTGATGGCTTGTGACCATCTTCCTCTTGATCACATTCCAGAAGTCTTCAAATGGGGTTCAGGTCTGGAGATTAGGCTGGCCATAACAGGGTCTTGATCTGGTGGTCCTCCATCCACACCTTGATTGACCTGGCTGTGTGGCATGGCGCATTGTCCTGCTGAAAAAAACAATCCTCAGAGTTGGGGAACAACGTCAGAGCAAAAGGAAGCAAGTTTTCTTCCAGGACAACCTTGTACATGGCTTGATTCATGCGTTCAAATCTGCCCGATTCCAGCCTTGCTGAAGCACCCCCAGATCATCACTGATCCTCCACCAAATTTCACAGTGGGTGCGATACACTGTGGCTTGTAGGCCTCTCCAGGTCTCTGTCTAACCATTAGACGACCAGGTGTTGGGCAAAGTTGAAGATTGGACTCATCAGAGAAGATTACCTTACTCCAGTCCTCTACGGTCCAATCCTTATGGTCTTTTGCAAACCTCAGTCTGGCTCTTCTTTGCTTCTCATTGATGAAGGGCTTTTTTCTAGCTTTGCACGACTTCAGCCCTGCCCCTAAGAGCCTGTTTCGAGCCGTCCTCGCTGTGCCCTTCACCCCAGCTGCCGTTTGCATTCTTTTTGTAGGTCACTTGATGTCATCCTACGGTTGTTGAGTGACATTCGAATGAGTTGGCGGTCATCCCGGTCAGTAGTGTCGTTTTCGCCCTCTGCCGGTCTGTAGCTTTGTTGTCCCCAATGTCTGCTGCTTGACCTTGTTCTTATGAACCGCAGTCTTTGACATTTTAAGGATGGAAGCAACCTGACGCTCACTGTATCCCTTTGCCAGTAAAGCCAGAATTGAACCCTTCTTTTCCTCACTCACAACGTTCCTTTTCAACTCTTTTGGCAGTTATTTTTTGATTAATATTACTTTTGAGGTACAATTAGCACTGTTTTTGCCATCCAGCTGGTCCTATTGCAAGAGGATAGTTATGACCACAGCAGTGGTTTTTATACTTTTCCTCGTTAAATAAGATTTGGTTCAGGTGATCACCTAATCAGTACCTAATTCAGTAGAATGAGGTGTGCCTGTGTTGGAATTCAAAAGACACTGGAATGGAAGTCATACATGTAGAGATGCTGATTTAAGAAACATTTGCAGTGGTCTCTTAATTTCTTCCAGAGCTGTGTATATGTGTATATATATATATTTATTTTCTCCTCCCCATTTTAGAATAAGGCTGTAATGTAACAAAATGTGGAATAAGTAAAGGGGTCTGAATACTTTCTGAATGCACTGTATGTAAATTAGATATTTCTGGATTTCATTTAATACATTTGCAAAAAAAAGTTTAGATTTTTTTCAATTTTGAATTCAAGCTGTAACACAAAATGTGGAATAAATCAAGAGGTATGAATACTTTCTGTAGTCACCATACATTTACATACATTAGTTGTTCAGCAGACACTTATGCAGAGCGACTTATAGGAGCAATTAGGGTTAAGTGCCTTGCTCAAGGGCACAGACAGATTTTTCACCTAGTCGGCTCGGGGATTGGAACTAACAACCTTTCTGCTCTTAACTGCTAGGCTACCAGCCCCCCATGACATTTACATCCATTTAGAGCCACCCATGACGGGTACATCCATGAATGTATAGGCAAACTGGAAAATGTATATGGCAGCAACCTTGACACACAGTGTATGAATAAAATTGATTGCACTAGCTTCTTTGATAAGTGAATCAAAACTAAAACATTCTTGGGGCAATGCCAGAAACAAGCATGATACAACACATTTGAAAACTGAAATATAAAAGTGTGTGTGTTTGGGCTTGGTCACGCTTAACAGTCCAGGAGGCTGCTGAGCCAGCTGTGGTCAAATGTTTTCACTCTCCTCAGTTCCCTCTCCTGGGCTTTGGTGAGAGCTGGTGCCCCCAACTCCTTGGATGGGCCCCATGCTGCCGACTCCCCCTGACGGGAGTCTGCTTCCCCTTCGGAGTCCTCTTCCTCTTTCTCACTCTCCATTTCCTCTTCTTCAGGTTCTTTTTCCTCTCTTCAGCAATTTACAAACAAAACAAAACAAACACATGTAAGTGGGGCGAGAGCCCTCAGCGCAGGGCTCGTGACCAAACATGATTAAACAAGTAATCCAAAATATTAAACAGTCAGCATAAAATTTGATTTTCCATAGTATTGTCTAGCATATGGGTGAGTTTTGACCCAAAGCGCATTATCAGCCCGCTTTCTCAAGGAAGTGAGATGTACTGTTTGTTACTGTACCTATGTAACCTTTTAGGTTTAAGATTATATTGACAGAACAAATTCTCACTTAAAACAAAGACCTGGGGGAGTCCACGAACTGGACTCTACCCACACACTCATACATACATCCCAACACACACACAACATGCGCACACATGCATACTGATGCCACACACGCTGCTGCTACTGTCTATCTATCCTGTTGCCTAGTATCTTTAACCCTACATATATGTACATATCTACTACAATTACCTCATATCCCTGCACATCGACTCAGTACTGGTACTCCCTGTATATAGCCACGTTACTTTAACTCATTAGTGTTATTCACTGTGTATTTATTCCTCGTCACTATGTCTGAATTTTTTCTCTTGATCTTTAACTCTGCATCGTTGTCAAAGGACCCATAAGTAAGCATTTCACTGTTAGTCTACGAAGGATGTGACATCAAATTTGAATTGATTTGAAAAACAAATCAAATTTTGTTATGGATCCTTTAGGTCAGCATTTGAAAAAAATGTGGCATATTGTTGGTTTGAAAAACATTTCAAAGATGAACAAGAAAATGAGTGTCTTCAGCCTTGCTGCCAGGACCAGAGCATTCTCTCCCATCAGGCCTTTGGCTTAGTGACCCTTGACCCTGAGCAATGTCAACACAGACACCATGCTTACTGGATGTCATGCAGACAGTCACCTGACGTCATCTGAGCGCGACATGTTGTTGAAAGCTAAAAGCTGAACGAGAGACCACGGTTTATTGTTTTTGTAAAGCTGACAGTGTTTTTATATACACTTTTATTTTGGATACTGCCACTCTGTTGGGCTTAGTTGCTGTGAGCACTGCTGTCTGTCCCGGGATCCTGCCAGATTCCGCACAGGGGGAGAGACACGGAAGCCCAGCTAGCCTAGCTGGCACCGCGGTCTCAAATGGAGGTCGCTAGTGAACGTTTCCAGCCCTACAGGAGCTGCGTTTATTCCGGGACAATGTGGACCGCGCTGACTTTCAATGTAGCAACTGCTTGCTTGCGGAGGACTACAGGGGCGAAGTGGCTACTCTTAGCAAGCAAGTAGCAAACCTACACAAGCTACTGGGGAATCCACGCCCGCCTACTTTTTCTTTTTCTTCCACCCCAGTAGCCGGACGCCACTCTGGTCTGGTGGAATTGTTGCCGCTGTGTCGGTTCTCCACCGCCGACTGGCCGGTGCTCAGCAGGGATCCATCCCCGAAGGGGTCTCCCCCTTCCCTGGTGAACGGAGCTGTTCTCAACCCAACCAACCAGCCATGGAGATATGTCACTTGCCGTGGAAATCGATGAAAGCGTCCTCTGTCAACGGGGGTCTCCTTGGAGATATTAAGGCCGGACCTGACACAGACCAGAAACAGCTTTGCCGCCCTGGATCCAGAGGTTCCGGTGCCTTCTTCCTGAGAGACCGGCCCATTCAACATCACCAGCAGCTCTATGGTGAGAAACATCTCAATTCCCAATGCAAAAACCCTGTGCTACCCAGGAGCACGAGTACAGGACATCACAAGGCTGCTTCCGACTGTTCTACGACAGATACCAGGAGCTGACGCTGTCATAGTCCATTTGGGGTCAAACGACATCAGGAGGGCTAGCTCGGAACATCTGAAAAATACTTATAAATTGATTTGCATTTTAATGAGGGAAATAACATTTTTGACATGCGTTTTTCTGGATTTTTTGGTTGCTATTATGTCTCTCACTGTTCAAATAAACCTACCATTAAAATGATAGACTGATCATTTCTTTGTCAGTGGGCAAACGTACAAAATCAGCAGGGGATCAAATACTTTTTTCCCCCCTCACTGTACATGGTTATAACATCTGCCGAAAAGACAGAAATGCCAACGGGGCGGTGTTGCGGTCTATATTCAGAACCACATTCCTGTAAAGCTTAGAGATGATCTCATGTTAGATACTGTTGAAGTAATATGGCTCCAGGCTCATCTGCCTCACCTAAAGCCCATTCTTGTGGAATGATGCTATAGACCACCAAGTGCTAACAGTCAGTATCTGGATAATATGTGTGAAATGCTTGAAAATGTATGTGATAAAGAAGTATATTTTCTGGGTGATCACATCTTTACTAATGCTGCAGAAATTTGCTTTAAAAGCAGTATCCAAATCCATAGGATGTAGTGATCACAATATAGAAGCCAGATCTAAGAAAACCAAAGTTCCAAAGGCTGGGCCTAATATAGTGTATAAGAGGTCATACAAGAAGTTCTGTAGTGATTCTTATGTTGATGACGTAAAGAATATTTGCTGGTCTGTGGTGTGTAATGAGGAGCAACCAGACGCTGCACTTGAAATGTCTTATTCCAGTTACTAATAAGCACGCACCCATTAAGAAAATGACTGTAAAAGCTGTTAAATCCCCTTGGATTTAAAAATTGTATGGTTGAGAGGGATGAGGCGAAAGGTAAGGCAAATAAGTCTGGCAGCCCAACTGATAGGCAACCGTACTGCAAATTAAGAAATCATGTGACTAAACTAAATAAAAAGAAACTATACTATGAAACAAAAATAAATTAAATAAAGAATGATAGTAAAAAGCTTTAGAGCACCTTAAATGACATTTTGGGAAAAAAGGGAAACTCGGCTGCATCATTAATTGAATCAGATGCCTCATTCATCACGAAACCCACTGATATTGCCAACTACTTCAATGACTTCTTCATTAGCAAGATAAGCAAATTTAGGTATGACATGCCAGCAACAAACGCTGACACTACACATCCAAGTATACAGTGAGGGAACAAAGTATTTGATCCCCTGCTGATTTTGTATGTTTGACCACTGACAAAGAAATGATCAGTCTATCATTTTAATGGTAGGTTTATTTGAACAGTGAGAGACAGAATAACAACAAAAAGATCCAGAAAAACGCATGTAAACATTTTTATAAATTGATTTGCATTTTAAATGAGGGAAAAAAGTATTTGACCCCCTCTCAATCAGAAAGATTTCTGGCTCCCAGGTGTCTTTTATACAGGTAACGAGCTGAGATTAGGAGCACACTCTTAAAGGGAGTGCTCCTAATCTCAGCTTGTTACCTGTATAAAAGACACCTGTCCACAGAAGCAATCAATCAATCAGATTCCAAACTCTCCACCATGGCCAAGACCAAAGAGCTCTCCAAGGATGTCAGGGACAAGATTGTAGACCTACACAAGGCTGGAATGGGCTACAAGACCATCACCAAGCAGCTTGGTGAGAAGGTGACAACAGTTGGTGCGATTATTCGCAAATGGAAGAAACACAAAATAACTGTCAGTCTCCCTCGGCCTGGGGCTCCGTGCAAGATCTCACCTCGAGGAGTTGCAATGATCATGAGAACGATGAGGAATCAGCCCAGAACTACACGGAAGGATCTTGTCAATGATCAAGGCAGCTAGGACCATAGTCATCAAGAAAACAATTGGTAACACACTATGCCGTGAAGGACTGAAATCCTGCAGCGCCCGCAAGGTCCCCCTGCTCAAGAAAGCACATATACAGGCCTGTCTGAAGTTTTCCAATGAACATCTGAATGATTCAGAGGAGAACTGGGTGAAAGTGTTGTGGTCAGATGAGACCAAAATCGAACTCTTTGGCATCAACTCAACTCGCCGTGTTTGGAGGAGGAGGAATGCTGCCTATGACCCCAAGAATACCATCCCCACCGTCAAACTGGCTTCCTCACCTTGTCTCCTTCCCTTCATCTGCTCTGATGTGTCAGAGCAGGACTGGTGAAAGGGTCTGCTAGGGCAGTGTTTCCCAACCCTGGTCCTCAAGTACCCCCAAAAGTACACCATTTCGCTGTAGCCCTTGACAAACACACCTCATACAACTCATTGAGGGCTTGATGATTAGTTGAATCAGGTGTCCAGGGTTACAATAAAATGTGTACTGTTGGGAGTACTCGAGGACCAGGGTTGGGAAACACTGTGCTAGGGTGTAAGGTCATCGTCACCATACCACTTTGACCTCTCCATTGTTTTCAGGGGAATGTAGATTAACCTATTCATTGTGATTCTATGTCAATATGTCATTTTCTTTTTTACACTGTATGCCACAAACCATTTTCTTGTCTGGAACAATAAAGTAACTACTAGTTACTGGACTCACCTGGCAGAGGAGCTGGAGATGAGCAGGGAGCGGACGAACATGGCGCAGAGGAACGAGGCTGAAGGCAGGACGTGGGCTGGGGTGTGCAGCAGCTGAGGGAGAGATAGAGGAGTGAGTTATGCGGAGGTCCTGATGCTTATTGCTCACTAACTATGTCCTTCAGGGCAATGATCAATACCCTGGTCTAAAATGTTTTAAGCTGGGTTCTTGAGAGAATCAAGTAAGTGTTACCAGTATACATTTACAATTATTAGCCAATAAAACATTTATTGATTAACTTTCTGATACGCTCTGGGAATGTTTGCAGACCAATTCGTCTCACCTAGCATCTAAAGTGAGCTCAGTAGAGTCAGTAGTTCACTGCTTGGAAGTATACAAATACTTGGCACATTATTTAAGCGTTCTAGCAAAACTAAACATGAACTTTGAGGTCCAACACTGCAGAATGTAGAAACACTGGCTTATTTACAGGTCAGCAAATTAACAGCCAGTGAACATTGCATGAATACACACACCTCCTTGATGGCAATGGAGCCCTGTGGGAGCGGAGTCCTTTCTGCCATGGGATTGGGCAGCACTTCCTGCTTCTCCAGTTGCTGCATTCTGTGTTTCCCTAGCAACAGGTAGAAAGGCGTCACGGCAACACTGTCGTCTACCACGAGCTGAAAAACACCCCAAAAACAAATAGTCAGAACTGACGCAGGGAATGCTATACATTGTTACAGAAATAAATTACTAAATGAACGACAATATGTTTCGCAACCGTTTTGGAAAAAAGTGGGATTGTACCTGTTTCCTGGATGCCAACAGTCTGTCCTCCTCAGTCTTGGTGCTAAATGTCAACAAATCCTACAATGGAGAGAGGATGTCAGACAGAACTCTGTGGTTAGTTACCTGCCAGTGGAATAAGTAGTAAAACCCGAGCATGCGCCATCACCCCAGATTAACGGTTTCTTTACTTTCAATGTAATTTAGTAGTTTGGGGGAACTTATCACTTCAAGGTTAGAATTGGAACACAACATGTCCAGTCCTTTAATCTATTAGTGGTGACAAAGGAAAGGAGACGAGGAGAGGAAATCATGAGTCTGGAGACAGTGTGTATTATATATTCACCATGTGTTGGGTGACGAAGTAGAGCTGGGATCTGTTGAGCCACTGCGTGCGCTCCTCGCAGCTCTCCAGCATCTGGTCGCGCGGCGCGAAGACGGCGTGCTGCACCTTGCCCGTGCACAAAGCCTTCTGGGAGTAGAGGGGCCGTGGCTCGCTGGGCTTGAACACAAACACTGGTGGGAGGAGAGGACATTGATGAGCGAAGCCCATTTTACCTATTTAGATTTGGACTTGGTTGGGTCTACCGTATGACAAGGCTACAGCACATACAGTTGAAGTCGGAAGTTTACATTAGCCAAATACATTTAAACTCAGTTTTTCACAATTCCTGACATTTAATCCTAGTAAAAATTCCTTATTTTAGGTCAGTTTATTTTAAGAATGTGAAATGTCAGAATAATAGTAGAGAGAATGATTTATTTCAGCTTTGATTTATTTCATCACATTCCCAGTGGGTCAGAAGTTTACATACACTCAATTAGTATTTGGTAGCATTGCCTTTAAATTGTGTAACTTGGGTCAAACATTTCGGGTAGCCTTAAGCCATTTTGCCACAACATTGGAAGTATGCTTGGGGTCATTGTCCATTTGGAAGACCTATTTGCGACCAAGCTTTAACTTCCTGACTGATGTCTTGAGATGTTGCTTCAATATATCCACATCATTTTCCTTCCTCATGATGCCATCTATTTTGTGAAGTGCACCAGTACCTCCTGCAGCAAAACACCCCCACAGCATGATGCTGCCACCCACGTGCTTCACGGTTGGGATGGTGTTCTTCGGCTCGCAAGCCACCCCCTTTTTCCTCCAAACATAACAATGGTAATTATGGCCAAACAGTTCTATTTATGTTTCATCAGACCAGAGGATATTTCTCCAAAAAGTACGATCTTTGTCCCAATGTGCAGTTGCAAACCGTAGTCTGGCTTTTTTATGGCGGTTTTGGAGCAGTGGCTTCTTCCTTGCTGAGCGGCCTTTCAGGTTATGTCGATATAGGACTCGTTTTTACTGTGGATATAGATACTTTTGTACCTGTTTCCTCCAGCATCTTCACAAGGTCCTTTGCTGTTGTTCTGGGATTGATTTGCACTTTTCACACCAAAGTAAGTTAATCTCTAGGAGACAGAACGCATCTCCTTCCTGAGCGGTATGATGGCTGTGTGGTCCCATGGTGTTTATACTTGCATACTATTGTTTGTACAGATGAACGTGGTACCTTCAGGCATTTGGAAATTGCTCCCAAGGATGAACCAGACTTGTGGAGGTCTACACATTTTTTTCTGAGGTCTTGGCTGATTTCTTTTGATTTTCCCATGATGTCAAGCAAAGAGGCACTGAGTTTGAAGGTAGGCCTCAAATGATGTCAATTAGCCTATCAGAAGCTTCTAAAGCCATGACATAATTTTCTGGAATTTTCCAAGCTGTTTAAAGGTACAGTCAACTTGGTGTATGTAAACTTCTGACCCACTGGAATTGTGATACAGTGAAATAATCGGTCTGTAAACAATTGTTGGAAAAATTACTTTTGTCATGCACAAAGTAGATGTTCTAACCGACTTCCCAAAACTATAGTTTGTTAACAAGAAATTTGTGGAGTGGTTGAAAAACGAGTTTTAATGACTCCAACCTAAGTGTATGTAAACTTCCGACTTCAACTGTATTATAGAATACCTAGGGGACCCTGCCATGTGCAATTAGCTAAGCTTTGGGCCCATGCAGTGTGTGTGGCAAACATAATATAAGCCAAACTAGGCAAAATAGTTATGTTGGTACTGGTAGCTAGCACCAGAAACTAGGTAGCACTCACAGTCTGAGCTGCCAGATTGATTGCAGAAGGCAGCCATGTTCTCAGACAGCGGGTCGGTCTGGAGCAGGCTCACGTCCATGGGGGTACTCCACTCCACTGAGATAGAGAAGAAAACAGAGATACAAATGTAGAAAGAGAAAAGTTAGGTTTATGGATTGAACAGATTTGTTTTATTTTTTTGTCATGGATGTGTTGCTTATAGGACAGTTGCACACAAGCACACACGTCAGAGCAACATCTTACGTGAGCAGGTGAGGAGGTTCCAGCAGCAGAGTTGGTTCTTGGTGCTGGTCCCCAACAGGTACTTGGAACAGCTTAACCGTCCAAAACAAAGGTCCCTGGTGGATCAAAAGAGTCTGTTAACCTTCAAACCCTGTCACCGGTCTCTTACCGTACTGTCAAAGTTCCCCTGAATATACCACCACCCACCCTCCAAACATATTTCACAGGATTAGTGGCAAGAAGCTTTTCCACACCAGAGCTCCAACTACAAATGCAGTCACCTGAAATAATTTAAGTTCAGACCACATGTAAACACCGAACAGAAAATCCATAGGAGGCGGTTACACAATGGGCAGCTGGAATAACGGTGCAGAGTCCCAGTGCTTGACTTCCACAGCCATCTGTACCAGCAATTGCCTACATCCCTCTGAGCACATACGAGGCAGAGATATCCCTATACAGTGCTGTGAAATAGTATTTGCCCCCCTTCTAATTGTCTACTTCCACATATTTTTTTATACTGAATGTTATCAGATCAATTTTGGCCCACTCGGCCATGCATAACTTCTTTACCTCAGCGACATTTGTGGGTTTTCAAGCATGAACTGCTTGTTTCAAGTCCTGCCACAACATCTCAACTGGGATTAGGTCTTGACTGACTAGGCCATTCCAAAACATCAAATCATTTTCATGTATTCTTGATTGTGCGTTTTGCATTGTCTTGCTGCATGACTCAGCTGCATCCCTAAACCATCACACTACCACCACCATGCTTGACTGTTGGTATAAGGTTCTTACTGTGAATGGTGTGGCTGTTGAACAAGTTGAGGAGACTAAATTACTTGGCATTACCTTAGATTGTAAACTATCATGGTCAAAACATATAGATTCAATGGTTGTAAAGTTGGGGAGAGGTCTGTCCGTAATAAAGAGATGCTCTGCTTTTTTGACACCACACTCCAAAAAGCAAGTTCTGCAGGCTCTAGTTTTGTCTAATCTTGACTGTCCAGTCGTGTGGTCCAGTGCTGCAAGGAAAGACCTAGTTAAGCTGCAGCTGGCCCAAAACTGAGCGGAACGTCTCGCTCTTCATTGTAATCAAAGGGCTGATATAAATACTATGCATGCCAGTCTCTTGGCTAAGAGTTGAGGAGAGACTGACTGCATCACTTCTTTTTATAAAGAAACATTGTGTTGAAAATCCCAAATTTTTTGCACAGTCAACTTACACACAGCTCTGACACACACACTTACCCCACCAGACATGCCACCAGGGGTCTTTTCACAGTCCCCAAATTCAGAACAAATTCAAGAACGCGTACAGTATTATATAGAGCCATTATTGCATGGAACTCCGTTCCATCTCATATTGCTCAACAGCAAACCTGGTTTCAAAAAACAGATAAAGCAACACCTCACGGCACAACGCCTCTCCCCTATTTGACCTAGATAGTTTGTGTGTATGTATTGATATGTAGGCTACGTGTGCCTTTAAAAAATGTTTTATGTAGTTCTGTCCTTAAGCTGTTCTTGTCTATTACTGTTCTGTATTATGTCATGTTTCATGTTTTGTGTGGACCCCAGGAAGAGTAGCTGCTGGTTCTGCAACAGCTAATGGGGATCCTAATAAAATACCAGATACCATTACTGTGAAATGCAGTGTTTGGTTTTCGCAAGGACCCATGTCGTCCAAAAAGTTATACTTTTGACTCATCTGTCCATAGAACAGTCTTGATGATCATACAGTTGCTTCCAGGTGCTTGAGTCAACTTTTTGGATGAGATGGGTCCCATTATGTCTGGCGAAAACCAAACACTTCATTCCACAGTAAGAACCTCATACCAAACGGTCAAGCATGGTGGTGGTAGTGTGATGGTTTGGGGATGCTTTGCTTCCTCAGGTCCTGGACGACTTGCCTTAATAGAAGAAACCATGAATTCTGCTCTGTATCAGAGAATTCTACAGGAGAATGTCAGGTCATCCAACAGAGAGCTGAAGCACAGCTGAGTCATGCAGCAAGACAATGATCCAAAACACACAATCAAGTCTACATGAAAATGGTTAAAAAGCAACAAATGTAAAGTTTTGAAGGACCTAAATCCCAATTGAAACGAGCAGTTCATGCTTGAAACCCCACAAATGTCACAGAGTTAAAGCAGTTCTGCATGCAAGAGTGGGCCAAAATTCCTCCACAGCGATGTGAGAGACTGATCAACAACTACAGGAAGCATTTCGTTGCAGTCATTGCAGCTAAAGGTGTCACAACCAGTTATTGAGTGTAAGGGAGCAAATACTTTTTCACAGCACTGTACATGACGTCCTCATGGAGGTAAAATAATTGAAAGTGATATAGAGTTGACTATCAATGTATGCAATGGCTTGGGGCCATTGTGAATACCAGCACTAAAACCAGTTTGTATGAATTTGCAGGCTGCAGCTAGGCAGCTCTGGCATGCAATTGAGTAAGACTCAACACCAAATACTACTTTTCTGCACTCACTGACCTAAGACGTGGGGGGGGGGGGGGGCTGTTGCGGGGAAGCGCTTTTGCGCAGCAGGTTCTGACTCCCAAGTTGACATGGCTGGCCAATATAACTTGTTTTTTTTTGTTCCATAAAGTGCACTCATTTTGTGCTAGCGAGGTCAAATATTACAGACTTACAGTTCCTTCAGAAAGTATTCATACACCTTGACTTATTCCACATTGTTGTTACAGCCTGTATTCAAAATGGATTCAATCTTATTTTTCACCCATCTACACACAATAGCCCATAATGACAAAGTGAAAATATGTTTAGAAATGTTTGCACATTTATTGAAAAATAAATACAGAAATCTAATTTACATAAGTATTCACACCCCTGAGTCAATACATGTTACGAACACCTTTGGGAGCGATTACAGCGGTGAGTCTTTCTGGGTAAGTCTAAGAGCTTTGCACACCTGGATTGTACATTATTTGCACATTCTTTTAGAAATTCTTCAAGCTCTGTCAAGTTGGTTGTTAAACATTGCTAGACAGCCATTTTCATGTCTTGCCATAGATTTACAATTTCAATCTTTCAATTTAGGTCAAAACAGTAACTAGGCTATTCAGGAACATTCAATGTCATCTTGGTAAGCAATTCCTTGTGTTTTAGGTTATTATCCTGCTAAAAGGTGAATTGGTCTCCCAGTGTCTGTTGGAAAGCAGACTGACCCAGGTTTTCCTCTAGGATTTTGCCTGTGCTTAGCTCTACTCCATTTATTTTCTTGCTGATGACAAGCATACCCATTACATGATGGAGCCACCACCATGCTTGAAAAAATATGAAGAGTGACATTCAGTGATGTGTTGGATTTGCCCTAAACATAAGACTTTGTATTCAGGACCAAACGTATTTGCAGTTTTACTTTATGACTTATTGCAAACAGGATGCATGTTTTAGAATATTACTATTCTGTACAGGCTTCCTTCTTTCCACACTGTCCATTAGGTTAGTATTGTGGAGTAACTATAATGTTGTTGATCCATCCTCAGTTCTCTCCCATCACTGCCATTCAACTCCCTAACTGTAATAAAGTCACCATTGGCCTCATTGTGAAATCCCTGAGCGGTTACCTTCCTCTTCGGCAATTGCGTTGGGAAGGACGCCTATATCTTTGTAGTGACTGGGTGTATTGATACACTATCCAAAGTGTCATTAATAACTTCACCATTTTTTTTTTTTACCCATTCCCAATAGGTGCACTTCTTTGCGAGGCATTGGAAAACCTCCCTGGTCTTTGTGGTTGAATCTGTGTTTAAAATTCACTGCTCGACGGAGGGACCTTACAGATAATTGTATGTGGGGTACATAGATGAGGTAGTCATTCAAAAATCATGTTAAACACTATTATCATTTACATTTACATTTATTATTGCGCACAGAGTGAGTCCATGCAACTTGTGACTCGTTAAGCACATTTTTACTCCTGAATGTATTTAGGCTTGCCATAACAAAGGGGTTGAATACCTTATTGACTCAATACATTTCACCTTTTCATTTAATGAATTTGTAAACATTTCTAAAAACATAATTACACTGACATTATGGGCTATTGTGTGTAGGCCAGTGACACAATCTCAATTTAATCCATTTTAAATTCAGGCTGTAACACAAAATGTGGAAATGGTCAAGGGTTGTGAACACTTTCTGAAGGAACTGTATGTACCATGGAGGGTGTTACACAAGTAAACAACGGAAATGGGAACCTAAGTTCATATCACGAGTCATAACTGTTAGTTTAACACTAGGAAAGCCGAGAGTCATTTTTTAAGAAATGTCCCCCCCGTCCTTGACTTTTCCTAAGTAAGTCTATATAACACACTGTCGTTATTAGAAACAGAATGTGTTATAAGCAGTTCTCCCTGCCCGTCATCCAATATCGAAACAAATTTCACGGAGTTAGCCTACAGACAAGATAAAATTGACAATACATTTACATTTTAGTCATTTAGCAGACGCTCTTATCCAGAGCGACTTACAGTTAGTGAATATATACTGGCCCCCCGTGGGAATCGAACCCACAACCCTGGCGTTGCAAACGCCATGCTCTATCAACTGAGCCACATCCCTGCCGGCCATTCCCTCCCCTACCCTGGAAGACGCTGGGCCAATTGTGCGCCGCCCATGAGTCTCCCGGTCGCGGCCGGCTGCGACAGAGCATGGATTCGAACCAGGATCTCTAGTGGCACAGTTAGCACTGCGATGCAGTGCCTTAGACCACTGCGCCACTCAGGAGACTCACAAGTCTGATGGGAAAGAATATATTCAATTCTATATGAAGAATCTGATGAACAGCACAGCTTGGAATAGACATGAATTGCAGCAGCAAAAAGGGACATTTTAAAATTATTCTACAGAGTCAAAAGCAGGTAAGACGGTTTGATGTCTATATAGTATTAAAGAGAGCAGGTTCTGCTGTTTCTAAATCACCTCTCCTTGCCAAACAACTCTTAAAGATTACCCGTTGAGCTCCATTTCAAAATCTAACTTTTTGGCAGAATTAACACGATTTAATGCGCTCCCGGTGTGCACTGCAACACACCAAGCATAGTAATATATTTAGACTGAAAATACTGTATGCCACTCTGTTCTTTTGAAATGCATAATGTTCCTTAAGACATGCCCTTAACGAATGAATAATGAATTATCTTTGTTATGGTGTTTATTTAATGGACTTTAAACACTTGAATTGTGGTGTTTCGTTTGTACATAGCCTACAGTTACATAAACTAATAAAAATGCTAGTGGTCCAATGAGGCCTAGACTTTTCTAGTGTCAGGCCATCTTGTTTGTCGATAGACTGCTACATCTGCTAACATATTCGTTTTTTGTTAGAAAAGTAATTGAAATGTCTGCTCGTTTCAATAGTCGTGTGTGTTTGTGTATACTTGTATCAGTCTGTGAATGTTTGCAAGTGTGTGTGTCCGTTTATAAGCGTGTGTTCTGACCTGATGGCCCCTGGGGGCTGGGACAGTGTGGTGAGTAGCTCCCAGGAAGCGGGGCTCCACACAGTCACCACTTCCTGGAAGCCGACGGCCAATAGGGAACCGTCAGCCGAGAAGCAGCAGCAGCCGGGCTTCAGGAGATGATACCCACCCACAAAGTCACATGACCAGAAGGCGCCCTCTGCTGGTCATCAGACGGATACAGAGAAAGGAAAAGCCAGGGAGAATGTTAGAGCATCAATTTGATTTAGCTCATCAATACCTTGATTAGGCAAATCATGTGTCAGTCTACAATAACTAGCAGGTCTCCAAGGCCCTATTATATAGGCAGACTTGCCAAATCCTGGCCATCAGGCTCAATGATCCAAACCAAAAATCAAACCCCGTAGAAAGAACCACCTCGGGACTACTTACCCTTGGTGTCTGAGTGGTCTGCCAGCAGCCAGGCTTTGAAGTGGCCGTCGAGGCTAGTGGTTACCAGCATGGTGGTCTCTGGTGAGGGGCTGAAGAACATGGCTGTAATCCGGTCCTCGTGGGGAGCTGTGACTGTGGTGTTCAGCACAAAACTACAGAGGGGGACGAGGTAGGGTGGAGAGTGGGTGAAAGATGGAAACCACATAATTAAATATATCACAAATTGATCAGGGTTACAGCCAAATGTATGAACAGCAATAACTAAGGGGCATGTTATGGACAAGCATGACAAAAATGCCACAACATGTTGATATGAAGACATGTACATCATGCAACCAGGCTTATAAATAAATAGTACCTCTGAGTTAGCTTGTCATACGCCCACAGCTTCAAATTGACCTCTAGCTCAGAGCCTTTTTTTCTCCTCTCCTCCACTGTAGCAAGCCAGTCACCGTGGGTGTCAAACGCCGCCTTGACCACCTCAAACTGGTCCAGACCCTCCTCGTGGATGTACTCCTGCTGTACTATGTCCAACTGAAGGTAGAAGAGAAATACAGTCAAATAATTTTCATTAGCTTGATAAGAGTTCATTCATTATCAAATAGTTCAATTTTTTGCTCATGACAAATGAGCAAAACCAGACCTCCAAGACTCATCAGGCCATAGAAATTAGAATGGATATTCAAATAATTTTGTCATTCCATTTCTACGAGTCATGCGGCAAAGTTCAAGAACATTCATAGGTAACTCCCTGGCCCAAGTTTACAAGGACAGTGTATCGTGGTTTTTATTGACAGCTCCTGTAGATAAAGACGTGCTTACGTTGTAGAGTTGCTTGTCGTGGTGGAGAGAGTAGAACTGCAGGTGACCTGGTTTCCCATTGAGCACCAAAGCTTTACTGCGCGGGTCGATAATTAGGTTGGTCCACACACCCTCGCCTTTGACCAGCCCCTGGATGACGGCCGACACTTTAACACAACTCTGAATGATTGTGATCTCTTGAGAGAGTGACCGAGAATCAGGGAGAGAAAAAATGGGTTAGGTCTACAGACTGAGCGCTCAATATTCCTAAAACCTTTCTAGCAGTTGACAAAATAACGTACAGAGTGAATACGTATGGCCGCTGTCCCTTGTAAGTGTGAGACTTAGGATCCTGACCCGATTTAAGCATCCTTCCTTGAAGAATCACTGATCTAACGTGATTGGATAGGTGCAAACATGGATTCGGTACATAGCAGTGACCAATCCAGTCATGTCAGATCAGTGATTACTTCAAGGGAGGGAGGAGAGATGAACCGTGAAATTATTGTAACAGGGTGTAACAGTCCCTACTGTTGTCAGAGTGCGAGGTGCAGAACATGGAACCGTCAGGTGACACGGCTATGTGTGTGATGGCGGCGCCCAGGCGCGGCAAGAAGTCCTTCTGGTTCTCCTGTTTGTAACGCCAATGGACCAGCACTGACTCTATGCCCCCACTCAGAAGATTAGTACCTACAGAACAGGAGAGGAAACAAAGAGTCACGCCACTGGTCAGAATCCTTCCACCATGAAAACAGTTGGCATAGAGCAGTGGTCCCCAATTACATTCAGCCGGGATAATATTTTTTATTGAGCGGATGGTCGGGGGGCCGGAACGTCATAAATAATTTGACACTTCAAACTGACCGCAAGAAGCCCAAACAGATATAGTATGACAAAAACAATAATTTCAAACATTGATTACATTTGGATACGAGCACATATAATAATACATTTAATTTGTATAGTGCTTTTCATTAGAAGGTTCTCAAAGCTCTACTGAGGAAAAAAATTAAAACAAACTAGGCAAAAAAAGAAACGTCCTCTCACGGTCAACTGCGTTTATTTTCAGCAAACTTAACATGTTTTTTTTTGTATTTGTATGAACATAAGATTCAACAACTGAGACATAAACTGAACAAGTTCCACAGACATGTGACTAACAGAAATTGAATAATGTGTCCCTGAACAAAGGGGGGGGGGTCAAAATCAAAAGTAACAGTCAGTATCTGGTGTGGCCACCAGCTGCATTAAGTACTGCAGTGCATCTCCTCCTCATGGACTGCACCAGATTTGCCAAGTTCTTGCTGTGAGATGTTACCCCACTCTTCCACCAAGGCACCTGCAAGTTCCCGGACATTTCTGGGGGGAATGGCCCTAGCCCTCACCCTCCGATCCAACAGGTCCCGGACGTGCCCAATGGGATTGAGATCCGGGCTCTTCGCTGGCCATGGCAGAACACTGACATTCCTGTCTTGCAGGAAATCACGCACAGAATGAGCAGTATGGCTGGCGGCATTGTCATGCTGGAGGGTCATGTCAGGATGAGCCTGCAGGAAGGGTACCACATGAGGGAGGAGGATGTCTTCCCTGTAACGCACAGCGTTGAGATTGCCTGCAATGACAACAAGCTCAGTCCGATGATGCTGTGACACACCGCCCCAGACCATGACGGACCCTCCACCTCCAAAATCGATCCCGCTCCAGAGTACAGGCCTCGGTGTAAAGCTCATTCCTTCGACGATAAACGCGCGGATCCGACCACCCCTGGTGAGACAAAACCACGACTCGTCAGTGAAGAGCACTTTTTGCCAGTCCTGTATGGTCCAGCGATAGTGGGTTTGTGCCCATAGGCGACATTGTCGCCGGTGATGTCTGGTGAGGACCTGCCTTACAACAGGCCTACAAGCCCTCAATCCAGCTTCTCTCAGCCTATTGCAGACAGGCTGAGCACTGATGGAGGGATTGTGCATTCCTGGTGTAACTCGGGCAGTTGATGCCATCCTGTACCTGTCCCGCAGGTATGATGTTCGGATGTACAGATCCTGTGCAGGTGTTGTTACACGTGGTCTGCCACTGCGAGGACAATCAGCTGTCCGTCCTGTCTCCCTGTAGCGCTGTCTTAGGCATCTCACAGTACGGATATTGCAATTTATTGCCCTGGCCACATCTGCTGTCCTCATGCCTCCTTGCAGCATGCATAAGGCACGTTCACGCAGATGAGCAGGGACCTAGGGCATCTTTCTTTTGGTGTTTTTCAGAGTCAGTAGAAAGGCCTCTTTAGTGTCCTAAGTTTTCATACCTGTGACCTTAATTGCCTACCATCTGTAAGCTGTTAGTGTCTTAACGACCATTCCACAGGTGCATGTTCATGAATTGTTTATGGTTCATTGAACAAGCATGGGAAACAGTGTTTAAACCCTTTACAATGAAGTGAAGTTATTTTGATTTTTATGGATTATCTTTGAAAGACAGGGTACTGAAAAAGGGACGTTTCTTTGTTGGCTAAGTTTACATTTGGAATCAAGGCAGGTAAAATAGCATTAGTGGGCTAGGTGCTAAATACATTTTAGATTGGGACTAGGACTATGAAAAATAGTCTATAGAAGTGGGTTTTAAGGCCATTTTAAAAGTTCAGAGTGATTGAGCGGCTCTCAGATGGTCAGGGAGAGCATTCCATAGGCGAGGGGCAAGGAAGCAGAAGGCTCGGTCCCCCATATTTCAAGAAATGTCTTGGGGACTTGAAGCAGTAGGGAGTGGCTGGAATGCCTCTATTTATGCGTCGGAATACTTGGGAACAGATTTCCTAAATTAAAATAACTTTCAGCTCATTTTCTGGTGATTTTACTGTCTTATGTCCAACAACGGAATATGTGGTAAATTCAATTCAATTGATTGGACATGATTTGGAAAGGCACACACCTGTCTATATAAGTTCCCACAGTTGACAGAGCAAGTTTGGAACCACCAAGACTCTTCCTAGAGCTGGCCGCCCGGACAAACTGAGCAATCGGGGGAGAAGGGCCTTGGTCAGGGAGGTAACCAAGAACCGGATGGTCACTCTGACAGAGCTCTAGAGTTCCTCTGTGGAGATGGGAGAACCTACCAGAAGGACAACTATCTCTGCAGCACTCCACCAATCAGGCCTTTATGGTAGAGTGGCCAGACGGAAGCCACTCCTCAGTAAAAAGGCACGACAGCCCGCTTGGAGGTTGCCAAAAGGCACCTAAAGACTCTCAGACCATGAGAAACAAGATTCTCTGGTCTGATGAAACCAAGATTGAACTCTTTGGCCTGAATGCCAAGTGTCATGTCTGGAGGAAACCTGGCACCATACCTACGGTGAAGCATGGTGGTGGCAGCATCATGCTGTGGGGATGTTTTTCAGCGGCAGGGACTGGGAGACTAGTCAGGATCGAGGGAAAGATGAACGGAGCAAAGTACAGAGAGATCCTTGATGAAAACCTGCTCCAGAGAGCTCAGGACCTCTGACTGGGGCGAAGGCTCACCTTCCAACAGGACAACGGCCCTAAGCACACAGCCAAGACAACGGCTTCGGGATGTCTCTGAATGTCCTTGAGTGGCCCAGCCAGAGCCCGGACTTGAACATGATCTAACATCTCTGGAGAGACCTGGAAATTGCTGTGCCGCAACGCTCCCCATCCAACCTGACAGAGCTTGAGAGGATCTGCAGAGAAGAATGGGAGAAACTCTCCAAATACATTTACATTTTAGTCATTTAGCAGACGCTCTTATCCAGAGCGCATACATTTTCATACAGGTGTGCCAAGCTTGTAGCGTCATACCAAAGAAGACAAGGCTGTAATCGCTGCCAAAGATGCTTCAACAAAGTACTGAGTAAAGGGTCTGAATACTTAAGTAAATGTGATATTTCCAAAAACGTGTTTTTGCTTTGTCATTATGGGGTATTGTGTGTAGATTGATGGGGAAAAAAACAATTGAATACATTTTTTTTATAAGGCTGTAACGTAATATGTGCCTTTTACTGAGGAGTGGCTTCCGTCTGGCCATTCTACCATAAAGGCCTGATTGGTGGAGTGCTGCAGAGATGGTTGTCCTTCTGGAAGGTTCTCCCATCTCCACAGAGGAACTCTGGAGCTCTGTCATAATGACCATCGGGTTCTTGGTCACCTCCCTGACCAAGGCCCTTCTCCCCTAATTGTTCAGTTTGGCTAGGCAGTCAGCTCTAGGAAGAGTCTTGGTGGTTCCAAACTTCTCAATTTAAGAATGATGGAGGCCACTGTGTTTTTCGGGACCTTCAATGTTGCAAAACATTTTTATAACCCTTCCCCAGATCTGTGCCTCGACACAATCCTGTCTCTGAGCTCTACGGACAATTCCTTCGACCTCATGGCTTGGTTTTTGCTCTGACGTTCACTGTCAACTGTGGGACCTTATATAGACAGATGTGTTTCTTTCCAAATCATGTCCAATCAATTGAATTTACCACAGGTGGACTCCAATCAAGATGTAGAAACATCTCAAGGATGATCAAACGAAACAGGATGCACCGGAGCTCAATTTCCAGTCTCATAGCAAAGGGTCTGAATACTTATGTAATTAAGGTGTTTCTGTTTTTAATTTTTAATACATTTGCAAAAATTTCTTAACACCTGTTTTCACTTTGTCATTATGGGGTAGTGTGTGTAAATTCATAATGTAATCAATTTTAGAATAAGGCTGTAACTTAAAATGTGTAAAAAGTCAAGGGGTCTGAATACTTTCCAAATGCATTGTATATATATATATATATATATATATATATATATTATTACATTTTTTTGCTCAGAAGACTTGAGGGGCCAAATAAAAATCACCCACGGCCGCCTATTGGGGAACCCTGGCATAGAGTGATCAGAGATGATATGTCTAGGTATAATTCAACAGTTATGAGGTCAGTTGTTACATTACCTTCAGGGGTGAAGCACAGTGTGTTGACTGCCCCGTGGTGCCAATGCAGGGTGGAGTATGTGTACTCCTTCTTCTGGTTGAAGTTTCTCCTATTAAGACAGGGAAAGAATATTGACTGTGAGTGATACAAATCAAGGGTTTCCCCTAGATTTGGTCTTTAGTGAGGCCATGTTTGTGCATGGTCTCTAAGTTCTTCCAGCATCACTCACCACAGGCGAATCTTGCCATCCGCGTGACCTGTGGCAATACAGTCCTCTTTAGGGTGGCACGAGACACAGGTGAAGGCATTCTTGACCCCTTTCTTTATCCCAGACTTCAGGGAAAACCTGTGGGGCACAGAAACAAACAATACAATTGAATGAGTGCTATGACTAAGTGATGAGCAATGTTATCTGGGCAATGTCAAATCCCCCATAAAATACAGTCATGTAATGAATCATCCTGATGCTTATTAGTGCCCTTTTACAGAGGAGGGGATGCTCAAAACAATGGAGAGGGCTGGCTGAACTCCCGCTCCTGACCACAGACAAGCAGAAAGGCCACTCATCCAACAGATAAGCTGCCGTTCAGCGTGTTTGGACTTGTGCTGCACAAACACTAGCCAGAGAGACAACACCACACATTACCATTCATGCTTGCTGTCATTGAAGGGGACAGCCTCCTGATGGGCGAGAATAGTGTTTACCTGTAAGACTTCTGCTTTTTGAAGAAAAATACCTCGAGCTGTAAATCTTTGGCAGCAGCTATGTATTCACCCTGTGAGAAAGAAACAAGAGGAGCATTATATTCATTAGCACGCCGTTGTAAATGGTGTTCAGGGGGGGTCCCTCCCTGTTTCGGCCTGTTTGTTTCCTAGTTGTACACCCAAGGTTTCAAGTAAAAACCTGCCGTCAATATTGAAGGTGGTAATAAAACATGTCACGCCTTTTTGCTAAACTCAACAATGTGCAAACTATGACAAGAGCGTGCATAAAGATTGTTGTAATGTCTCCTGCAAAAGCAATCATTATGGTTTAAGTATTACCCTTGGATAAGTCGTTTGCTGCCAGAGACTTGTTTGCTACTGGAGTACCTGGTACACGAAGTATAGGCCTACTACACGTACCTCTCTGCCAAAGGAGGCAGCCCCAGGGTGGGGGCTGACATCACAGAGCACGGCCGAGAGCTCTCGTGCCTCTACTTCCTGGTCCCCACTGCGGGGCAGATGAACAGCCACCAGCTGGAACTGCTCTGAAGACACACACCACATACAGGTCAGAGGTCACCCTCTTCAATATTCTGCACCATTTTGTTGAGCAATTACTTAGAAGTCACCTGACTTAAAAGAACACCTACTGTGACTGCAAAAAGGCACTATATAGGCTAAAGGACAACTGAGGAGAACATGCCAACCCCTGCTTTGCACTTACCATAGCTACACTTTGAAACAGCAGTGATATGTGAACGGTTCCATATAGCCGTTACACAGTAGGTAGTGTAACGCATAGCACAGAATTTTCGACCTACCATTACTTAGCGATACTTCCTCAATTCCCGACTTGGAAGACAACATGTCTTCTAAACTTCCATGTCTAGTTCCAGGGGGCTCGTTTGAATTTAGAAAATGCTCCGTTATTATATAAAATGTTTTGCTCCATGAAGTAATTCAACAATGTGTACACCGCCATCTTGTCTATTTCAAATCATCTCATTGATCAAGACAGGTGTCAACATGACATTTGGCACTTTGGGGTGGACACCCACCTGTCTCAATCAATGAGAGACGATGTGAAATAGACAAGATAGAGGCGTACACATTGTTGGATTACTTCATGGATTTAATTTAATAACGGAGCATTTTCTAAATTCAAACGAACCCCCTGCAACTAGACATGGAAGTTTAGAAGACGTGGTGTCTTCGAAGTCACGAAGTCCTGCCAAGGTTGGTCGAAAATTCTCTGAGCTATGCTTTACACTACCTACTGTGTAGCGGCTGTATGGAAACACTCACATATCAAAGTGCATCTATACTTACCAGAGCTTTTGTAATTTGCCATGGGGACGACGACAAAAACAACTCCTCCATGTTTTTCCGAAACGTAAATGGAGTAGATGGGATACCCGATAATAAAGGTCTGAAAAGTATCATAGTAAGTAATATAAGCACATTTACTTATTGTTATTTATTTTATTTAACTAGGCAAGTCAGTTAATAACAAATTATTATTTACACATCAAGCAAACAGGAAGCAGTGATTAAAACGGACTTTGGTTTAGAATGCTGCTGTGGCAGTACCTTGATGAGGATGCCATCCGTGAAGTCCCACAATCGGACAGTGCCATCTGCTGAGCACGAGTATACCTGCAAGAGAGTGCAACAATGTCACGTCTATACTCAAAACATTGCAATGAACAAACACTCCTCCGACACCCAACCATAGGAGCGACAACAAACCATGTTTCTTTAGAAATAAACATGTTGCTGATCAGACAAAGTTTGCAGACACGTATATATAGCAACTGTATTGACAAACCTGCAGGTGGTTTAAAGGGTTGAGGACAACGCCTGTCACCAGGTCAGTGTGTCCCTGCAAATCATGGATGCATTCCTCTGTGCTGGTACTGTACACTTTCACTGACTCCCCCGCGGCACACAAAAGGAACCTGCCGAAAACGACCGGAGAGAAATCAGTTTACAGACTACGGTTATTCCAGATTCAATGTAGCTAGATGCCTGATTGTTTATTGTGATTAGCTAACTAGCAAGCAAGCTAAAAAGCAAATGCAAGTTTAGCTATCTGGCTGTTTAGCTAACGTTAAACATACCGGTAACGTAAATTAACATTTCATTTTGATCCATAGTACAGTAGCCAGCTAGCTACCTTAGTTGAATCGGTGGCTTGCTAGAATTCGGAAATAAGAGATACGTTTCTCTGCGGTTTAGAATATTGTTAGCTATGTTGTAGCTAGATAACGTTAGTTGGGCAGTCACAAGCTAGCTAGCTAGCAACAGTAGCTAACCAGGGCCACAGTTTGCGTCCATACCATACTTGTGACATATATTTAGTTCAGGTTTAGCTGTCTACTGCAACCAATACATACGTACCTGGAATCATTTGTAAAGACTGGCTCCCTGAAGTTTATTTTGCTACCACCACGGTGAACCATGCGGATATCTGCGTGCTCCACCATCTTTCCGAATTTGAACTATGAACCTTCGCATCTGAACCAACACGTGGCATGCTTCTGTCCTTGTTCATTCAAAGCTGGTGCTTAGTCGCCCTCAAGCGTTCAACTCAAATTACTGCATTTGACTAATATATATATATACACACACACAGTGGGAAGAACAAGTATTTGATACACTGCCGATTTTGCAGGTTTTCCTACCTACAAAGCACGTAGAGGTCTGTAATTTTTATCATAGGTACACTTCAACTGTGAGAGACGGAATGTAAAACAAAAATCCAGAAAATCACATTGTATGATTTTTAAGTAATTAATTTGCATTTTATTGCATGACATAAGTATTTGATACATCAGAAAAGCAGAACTTAATATTTGGTACAGAAACCTTTGTTTGCAATTACAGAGATCATACGTTTCCTGTAGGTCTTGACCAGGTTTGCACACACTGCAGCAGGGATTTTGGCCCACTCCTCCATACAGACCTTCTCCAGATCCTTCAGGTTTCGGGGCTGTCGCTGGGCAATACGGACTTTCAGCTCCCTCCAAAGATTTTCTATTGGTTTCAGGTCTGGAGACTGGCTAGGCCACTCCAGGACCTTGAGATGCTTCTTACGGAGCCACTCCTTAGTTGCCCTGGCTGTGTGTTTCATGTCGTTGTCATGCTGGAAGACCCAGCCACGACCCATCTTCAATGCTCTTACTGAGGGAAGGAGGTTGTTGGCCAAGATCTCGTGATACATGGCCCCATCCATCCTCCCCTCAATACGGTGCAGTCGTCCTGTCCCCTTTGCAGAAAAGCATCCCCAAAGAATGATGTTTCCACCTCCATGCTTCACGGTTGGGATGGTGTTCTTGGGGTTGTACTCATCCTTCTTCTTCCTCCAAACACGGCGAGTGGAGTTTAGACCAAAAAGCTATATTTTTGTCTCATCAGACCACATGACCTTCTCCCATTCCTCCTCTGGATCATCCAGATGGTCATTGGCAAACTTCAGATGGGCCTTGGCATGCGCTGGCTTGAGCAGGGGGACCTTGCGTGCGCTGCAGGATTTTAATCCATGACGGCGTAGTGTGTTACTAATGGTTTTCTTTGAGACTGTGGTCCCAGCTCTCTTCAGGTCATTGACCAGGTCCTGCCATGTAGTTCTGGGCTGATCCCTCACCTTCCCCATGATCATTGATGCCCCACGAGGTGAGATCTTGCATGGAGCCCCAGACCGAGGGTGATTGACCATCATCTTGAACTTCTTCCATTTTCTAATAATTGCGCCAACAGTTGTTGCCTTCTCACCAAGCTGCTTGCCTATTGTCCTGTAGCCCATCCCAGCCTTGTGCAGGTCTACAATTTTATCCCTGATGTCCTTACACAGCTCTCTGGGCTTGGCCATTGTGGAGAGGTTGGAGTCTGTTTGATTGAGTGTGTGGACAGGTGTCTTTTATACAGGTAACGAGTTCAAACAGGTGCAGTTAATACAGGTAATGAGTGGAGAACAGGAGGGCTTCTTAAAGAAAAACTAACAGGTCTGTGAGAGCCGGAATTCTTACTGGTTGGTAGGTGATCAAATACTTATGTCATGCAATAAAATGCAAATTAATTACTTAAAAATCATACAATGTGATTTTCTGGATTTTTGTTTTAGATTCCGTCTCTCACAGTTGAAGTGTACCTATGATAAAAAAATTACATACCTCTACATGCTTTGTAAGTAGGAAAACCTGCAAAATCGGCAGTGTATCAAATACTTGTTCTCCCCACTGTATATCCCATTGTTCAACGTACCATAAACAGATTATCGTTTTAGAAATCACCAATTATTTTCATACACCACTGGTGTTACCCAACCTATACAATAAAGTAATAACCATTAGACTTTGTCAAATAAATGCTTTTCATTCAACTATTCAAACTTCTGCTCGATACAGTCAAGCAAGTACAACTATTTTACCCGGGAACTAGAACCATAAATTATTTTCCTTTGTCCTCAACTTAAATAATTTTCACAGCTCTATCGCAATTTCAGTTCGCTATTCAATTTCTTTAACTGTTCTCTCTGATTAGGCCCTAATTAATAAAACAAATACTTGCTATCGTTGATAAGCATACATTTAATTATATTCCTATCATTTGAACTATGTACTGTCTCTCACCCCTTCCCCCCCTCCCTTGCACAACGGGGGAGGCGCGGGGACCTGCCCTAATCATCTTCCTTCTTAGGAAATCATGTCATTCGTACTTGTAATATATTTTCATAGACCTTTCTAGAATACTTCTAAAGCTATCTAATTCAACCTTTCACATTTCTCAATCCACGTAGTAATCTAGGTCCATAGCCCCAATGCGAAAGCTTTACCCACTGTCTCTACCTGGGTTCAAACCAGGGACCCTCTACATACATTGCCAGTCACTCCACAAAATCTGCGATCCTTTCAAAGCAACTACTTCCAGTTCATAGAGCAAGTGACGTCACCAAATGAAAACCGCACTAGCTCTCACCTCATTCAGCAACACAAAAACTATCTCTCACTGCACCTATTCCTGTTGAATAAGTGAGTCTTTCTATTTAACCCAAACCACGCTGCAAATCTTCCATTCAACATCACCAAACCAAATACTCAATAGTATCCGGTTACCACCCATACCAGTCGTTGAATTCACTTATACATACAGATTTCACCTTATGCCATTGAAATGCCCAATAAACCATAATAGTTCAATGGAACCCTCTATTGGCTCTCTACGATATTATACATTCCTTCTATAACCACATTAGTTATGGTCCGATTACCCATTAAACCTTATCACATAATCAAACAACGGCACAACCTTAAACTCATATGGGGTGGCAGGTAGCTTAGTGACTAAGAGCGCTGTGCCAGCAACCGAGAGGTTGCCGGTTCCAATCCCCGAGCCGACCAGGTGAAAAATCTGTCGATGTGCCCTTGAGCAAGGCACCTAACCCCAATTGCTCCTGTAAGTCACTCTGGACAAGAGCGTCTGCTAAAAGTTAATATTCTCTACTTTCTCACCCATGACGTACGTCTACGTTTGGGTGAGAAAGTTAATACGTATATATTGTTAGAAATGTATACAGTGGAGAAAAAAAGTATTTAGTCAGCCACCAATTGTGCAAGTTCTCTCACTTAAAAAGATGAGAGAGGCCAGTAATTTTCATCATAGGTACACGTCAACTATGACAGACAAATTGAGAATTTTTTTCTCCAGAAAATCACATTGTAGGATTTTTAATGAATTTATTTGGAAAATAAGTATTTGGTCACCTACAAACAAGCAAGATTTCTGGCTCTCACAGACCTGTAACAACTTCTTTAAGAGGCTCCTCTGTCCTCCACTCGTTACCTGTATTAATGGCACCTGTTTGAACTTGTTATCAGTGTAAAAGACACCTGTCCACAACCTCAAACAGTCACACTCCAAACTCCACTATGGCCAAGACCAAAGAGCTGTCAAAGACACCAGAAACAAAATTGTAGACCTGCACCAGGCTGGGAAGACTGAATCTGCAATAGGTAAGCAGCTTGGTTTGAAGAAATCAACTGTGGGAGCAATTATTAGGAAATGGAAGACATACAAGACCACTGATAATCTCCCTCGATCTGGGGCTCCACGCAAGATCTCACCCCGTGGGGTCAAAATTATCACAAGAACGGTGAGCAAAAATCCCAGAACCACATGGGGGGACCTAGTGAATGACCTGCAGAGAGCTGGGACCAAAGTAACAAAGCCTACCATCAGTAACACACTACGCCGCCAGGGACTCAAATCCTGCAGTGCCAGACGTGTCCCCCTGCTTAAGCCAGTACATGTCCAGGCCCGTCTGAAGTTTGCTAGAGTGCATTTGGATGATCCAGAAGAGGATTGGGAGAATGTCATATGGTCAGATGAAACCAAAATAGAACTTTTTGGTAAAAACTCAACTCGTCGTGTTTGGAGCACAAAGAATGCTCAGTTGCATCCAAAGAACACCATACCTACTGTGAAGCATGGGGGTGGAAACATCATGCTTTGGGCTGTTTTTCTGCAAAGGGACCAGGACAACTGATCCGTGTAAAGGAAAGAATGAATGGGGCCATGTATCGTGAGATTTTGAGTGAAAACCTCCTTCCATCTGCAAGGGCATTGAAGATGAAACGTGGCTGGGTCTTTCAGCATGACAATGATCCCAAACACACCGCCCGGGCAACGAAGGAGTCGCTTCGTAAGAAGCATTTCAAGGTCCTGGAGTGGCCTAGCCAGTCTCCAGATCTCAACCCCATAGAAAATATTTGGAGGGAGTTGAAAGTCCGTGTTGCCCAGCGACAGCCCCAAAACATCACTGCTCTAGAGGAGATCTGCATGGAGGAATGGGCCAAAATACCAGCAACAGTGTGTGAAAACCTTGTGAAGACTTACAGAAAACGTTTGACCTGTGTCATTGCCAACAAAGGGTATATAACAAAGTATTGAGAAACTTTTGTTATTGACCAAATACTTATTTTCCACCATAATTTGCAAATAAATTCATTAAAAATCCTACAATGTGATTTTCTGGATTTTTTTCCTCATTTTGTCTGTCATAGTTGACGTGTACATATGATGAAAATTACAGGCCTCTCTCATCTTTTTAAGTGGGAGAACTTGCACAATTGGTGACTGACTAAATACTTTTTTCCCCCACTGTAGGTACCTCTCAAATAATCGCTTCGTGGTGTTTTTAGCCTATTCTTAATCGACACAAATCACTTCGTCAAACATTTTACCCGTGGAACCAAAAAATAGACTGTCATTTCCCAGACACTGCCCTTTCCTTTAGCTCTGCAGTCGCGATGGTTATGACCTGTTTTGTTACAGTATTTACACGGGGCCTCACACTCTCTGGCAAAATGACCCTCCTTGTTACAGTTAAAGCACTTCCTCTTATCTCCTCCCCTATTCTGCCTCCCTGATTTATTATAGCTCTCTAATCTCTTCAACTCTCTGTGTTTAAATTCTGTAGCCCTTCTCAACTCTTTCTCTATATCCAGTTCTTCTCTTAGCCTGCCTATTTCCTCTCTACTCTCCCTGAGTTCTGTAAGTTCTTTCTGTAAAACTTCCCCCTCTTTCTTCTCTTTACTGGCCTCCCTACTCTGCCCCCCTTCTTCCCCCTCTTCCAATATTCCGGCTTGGCCGTCATATGGTGGGGGAGGGGCGGGGACCAGTCCTAATTTTCTCCTACACATGACAACGTTATCATCTGGGCTTTCTTTCCAAGCCTGCTCTGCTAAAACTCGATATAACCTTTCTGCCCTCTGCTCTGGGGGAGGCACTGAAACCTCAACTTTTACTTTATTTTCTCTCTGCATAACTATTTTTTTCCTTTTCTGTCCTTCCTCTCTCTTTCGAGCCTCCAAAAGCCATACTCTCGCTGTCTCTAGCCCCTCCCCTCGCTGTTTCTTCAAATCCGTTCCACAGTTTACATGCATCTGCCTAATCATAGCCTCTAATTTCTCTACATTGAGATGCCCAATAAATCCATACCTCTTCTCCCAAATGGATCTATAATACATATTTCTTTGATCCCTTCCTAACATATATCTTTCATCCCCCGTTAATTCTCGGACCTCTTTAGAATATTTATTTCCCATGGTAGAAAAAGAAGAAATCCCCCCGTTTAGTAATAATTCAATCAATAATTATTTTCTTTGGGACTTATTATTAGGTGCGACTTTTAAGTAAATGTTATGATCTGCTTTTGTAATCAACCTTTTAAATTATTCAACCCGTAACCCAGAGTTTTTTTAAGACCCCCATTTCATGAAAAGGATGGGACAACCATTATTTTTTCTCACGCGACCTATTTTAGTCCCTTCCTTGAAACAATTATCACGTATTTCGATGGATCATTAGGTCTCACACGTATACAACCTTATATGATTTTTTGCTAACACTATCCGTAACCCAGAGGTCGTAACTGCTCTAGTTTTATGAAATAGACAGAGTTAGAGCAAATCCCCAGTTGTTTATGACTCTTGACTTGTTTAATGTATCTATCTCACACGGGGGTAATTATCTCCCTTCCTGTTTATATTGTAAAGACTGTATCTTGTACAATCTCAATATTAACTAGTTTATTTTGGTATAGGCCTATTACATAGAGTCATTTTCGGACCCCCCTTCCTTCCTTTATACCCTGATGAGATTTTGGTAACTATTCTCTGCCCTTCACAATAATTACTATTCTTATACGTCCAAATCATTTTCACCAAAATCCATGAATCAAAATTACTGACCTCATCCTTGCAGTTGGGATTTAAATGCTTTTTCAGATCTCGTCAACGTCTTTATCGTTCAAAAGGTTCATCACCGGCCTGTTTATAACCTTAACGTCAAAGGCCAGGTCTATTCTATACGGATGCTATCATCCGCCCGTGCACGGTTTTCGGTGTCCTCAGAACGATAAAGACGTATTTTGAGATCCGGCTCGAAGGGCGATTTGTCACGAGAATTTCTATCTCTAATTAATCAAACTTAATGCTCTGAATAATTCCCAGAGGGTGTAAGGCTCTGGTTTAATCATGAATTAAACAAAGGTCCACAACCGGCAAGAATGATCTGTATGTTTAATCATGGAGAGCTCTGCCGCCAAAAAACACATATACAGCTTTTATACCCCTTGACACACAAAGGCACTTTGCTCCGCCCAACTTTAGGATGCCTTTAACCAGTTTCTCAGTCCCCTTCACCCTGGAATGTTTGTCTCAGCAGTTTCTAACTCACCCCCTCTGTTAGTGGGTTTATAATGATAACCCTAACACAGTTCACACAGTCATCATAAGTATTGGGGTTAACAATTTTAGTTATAATCATAATTCCTCTATCATGCGGTAATCAGCAGGGAGTTGCAAAAGGTACGTTACCTCATTAACCCTCCTCAGGACTTTAAACGACGGAAGCTGCAGGCTCAGCTTCCGTCAGGGCAAGCGGAGGGGCAGGTTCCGGGTGGAGAGGCAGACCCGGTCGCCTGGAGAGAAAACATGCGCCTCACTCCGGTGGATGTTGGCCTGTTCCTTGTGCCGACGCACGGCCCGCTGGAGACGAGTGTGTGCAGCATTCCAGATTTCCTCAGCACGCTGAAACCACTCGTACAATACAGGGGCCTCGGTCTGGCTCGGATGCCAAGGTGCCAGGGCCGGCTGATACCCCAACACGCAATGGAAAGGAGTGAGGTTAGTGGAGGAGTGGCGGAGGGAATTCAGCCCACTTCCCCGGCCGGTCCTGACAGTAACACCTCAGGAACCTGCCCACTTCCTGATTGACCCTCTCCACCTGTTCATTAGCTTGAGGACGGTACCCGGAGGGGAGACTGATCGTGACCCCAGGCGTTCCATGAACGCTTTCTATACGCGGTGAACTGAGGGCCACGGTCTGACACAATGACGTGCGTAAAAAGAGCCTCCACGGTTTGCATGGCAGAAGGGAGCCAAGGCAGAGGAAGGAGGCGAAAAGCTTTGGAAAACCGGTCCACAACGATGAGAACGGTGGTGTTCCCCTGGGAAGGGGGGAAAGTCAGTGACAAGACCACAGAGAGGTGAGACCAGGGTCGTTGTGGAACCGGCAGGGGAAGGATCTTTCCATAAGGGAGGTGTCTGGGTCTCTTTGACTGGGCACGGATGGAGCAGGAAGAGATGTAAACCCGGACATCCCTAGCCAAGGTGGGCCACCAGTACTTCTCAGTCAGGCAGGTGATGATACGGCCTATTCCAGGATGACCCGACATAGGCGCCGTGTGCGCCCAGGAAAGGAGGCGGTCCCGCACACTCGTGGGCACGTAGGCGCGGTTCTCCAGGCACTGTGCAGTTGCGGGTTCTGTCCGCAGGGCCTGCCGTATGTCGGCGTCCACGTCCCACACCACTGGCGTGATGATACGGAAAAGAGGGATGATGGGGTCTCCTCTCCCTGCCTCTCCTCTGTGTCATAGAGGCGAGACAGGGCGTCCGCCTTCACGTTCTTCGAGCCTGGCCTATAGGAAAGCGTGAATTGGAACCTGGCGAAGAATAGAGCCCACCTGGCCTGTCTCGGGTTTAGCCTCTTCGCTGCCCTGATGTACTCCAGGTTGCGGTGGTCCGTCCAAACCAGGAAAGGGTGTTTGGACCCCTCCAGCCAGTGCCTCCACGCCTTCAGAGCCTTCTTGACCACCAAGAGTTCCCGGTCACCTACATCGTAGTTCCTCTGGGCGGGGCTCAGCTGCTTGGAGTAGAAGGCGCAGGGCCACAGTTTTGGAGGGGTTCCCGTGCGCTGGGACAGCACTGCCCCGACTCCTACTTTGGAGGCATCCACCTCGACGATGAAGGGGAGTGAGGGGTCGGGATTAGCCAGCACGGGAGCAGTGGTGAAGCGTGCCTTCAGTGTCTCGAACGCCCTCTCTACCTCCTCCGTCCAACGAAGCCGATGGGGACCTCCTCTCAGCAGGGAGGTAAAAGGCACGACCACCGTGCTGAAGCCCCAGATGAACCTCCGGAAATAGTTGGCGAACCCCAGGAATCGCTGGACTGCTTTCACGGAGTTGGGGATGGGCCATGACCTGACTGTGCTGACGCGTTGCTCCTCCATCTCCACTCCCTCCGTGGATATGAGGTAGCCCAAAAAGGACACAGACCACTGGACAAACAAACATTTTTCTTGTTTAACATATAGGTTATGCTCCAACAGTCTTCCCAGCATAGACCTGACTAACGCGATATGCTGGGCTCGGTCAGCAGAATAGGCCAAAATGTAGTCTATATAAACTACTACACCCCGTCCCAGCATGTCCCAAAACACTTTGTTAATAAAGGCCTGGAAGACTGAAGGAGCATTAGACAGGCCAAAGGGCATTATGAGATACTCGTAATGCCCCGTGGTTGTGGAAAAGGCCGTTTTCCATTCGTCGCCTGCACGAATGCGCATCAGATTGTAGGCGCTCATCAAGTCCAGTTTTGTGAAGTACTGCGCCCCCTGCATTTCTTCGATGATGGTTGGGATGAGGGGTAAAGGATAGCTGACGTTAACGGTGGCTTTATTCAGTGTCCGATAATCAATGCAGGGGCGCAGTCCCCCATCTTTCTTCTTAACAAAAAATAAGCTTGAGGAGGCTGGTGACGTAGAAGGGCGGATAAACCCCTGCTGGAGGCTCTCCTGTACGTAGGTCTCCATGGCCTCGGTCTCCGCGTAGGAGAGGGGATAGACGTGTCCTCTCGGGAGGGCTGCGTCAAACAGCAGGTCAATGGCACAGTCCCAGGGGCGATGAGGAGGCCTGGGTCTTACAGAAAACCTGATGCAGATCCTGGTATTCCTCCCGTAAATCCACTTGAGTGGCGTGGTCCGGATTTACCACCGTAGTGATGTTGACAGACAGCATGAGACACCTCCCCTGACATTCCTGCGACCAACCCAGCAGTCTCCTCTCAGATCAGGAAATAACAGGGTTATGCTAACTCAACCAGGGGAGACCTAAAACAACAGGGTGCGTGGCGGTGTGTATGATCAAAAAGGTGATCTGTTCTAAATGATTGTCATGGGTCAGCAGAGAAACATGAACAGTGATGTGATGTACGAGCCCCGTCCCTATTGGACAATTATCCAGGGCTTGAACAGGAATGGGTGACTGTAGGGGAACCAAAGGAATGCGAAATGCAGTGGCCAGCGCGCTATCTAAAAGATTCCCAGCAGCTCCGGAACCAATCAGAGCTAACGGGAGTGAGGGGCTAGGGTATTCAGGGAATTTAATGGAAAAACCGCGATGGTCCGGAACTCCAGGGCGAAGTCAGAGGCGGTCCTAGATCCCTGGCGTAGTCGGAGTAGATGCTCACCCCCCTCTCGGCCCTCCACAGGATGATCAAACACCGAGTGGAAGAGGAGGGTGAAGCGCTCGTAGGACTCGACCTCGGGTCCGCCCGTTTCCCAGACCACGGCACCCCAGTCCAGGGCCCTTCCGGTCAGTGCTGAGATGACTGTGGCAACCCTGTCCCTCCCGGAGACAGCCTCGGCGTAGCGAGCGTGGTACAGGTCGCATTGCAGAAGGAATCCCTTGCATCTCGCTGACGCGCCATCGAAGCGTTCCGGGAGGGACAGGGGTATTCCGCTCTTCATTGATTATACTGTTATGTATGAGGTAATGCATTAGGAAAGTCTTAAATGTATGTGGTTGAGAATGGGTTATGGATCTACTATGTTTAAACCATATGCGGTTATGGAACCCCTACCTGTCCCAGACCTGCTGTTTTCAACTCTTAATGATCGGCTATGAAAAGCCAACTGAGATTTATTCCTGATTATTATTTGACCATGCTTGTCACTTATGAACATTTTTGAACATCTTGGCATGGTTCTGTTATAATCTCCACCCGGCACAGCCAGAAGAGGACTGGCCACCCCTCATAGCCTGGTTCCTCTCTAGGTTTCTTCCTAGGTTTTGCCTTTCTAGGGAGTTTTTCCTAGCCACCGTGCTTCTACACCTGCATTACTAGCTGTTTGGTTAACCATATTTAAGTATTGATTGATATGTTTTGGAATAAACGGAGCAGAGCAAGGTGGTGGCTCTGTTATTTTTTACATGAGAAAGTTTGGTTTGGCCACCATTGTATCCAAACTAAATAAATATAGGAGGAGAAGTCAGATTTCACCACTATCATAAATTAAGAGTGGGCGGAGCGGTCTAAAGATGAAAGTTTGGAGACAATGGTGGAGAAACTGAACTGGGTGGGTTGTAAGCTAAAAGTATGTAAAACGAGCGGGAATAGACATTGTATATAAACTGAGGGCCGAGTGTTTTGAGTTAGTTGCTCTGCAGACCAGCTAGGCTTTTGTTGCTCTATGTAATAAAGTCTATCTTGATTCTACAAAAACTCTGGAAGAACTTTGATTTTTAATAAGTATAGTGATAATTATCCACGACAGTAATGATCCAGGTCAGTGACGCCTAGAAGACCGGTGACGTAGACCTCCAGAGCTGGTGAATGGAATGAGCAGCAGTACCGGGGGGATTCGTGACATGGTTAACGGCTTGAAAGTAAGCATTTCACAGTAAGGTCTACACCTGTTGTATTCGGCATGTGTCAAATACAATTTGATTTGATTTGATTTGACTCAAGGCTGTAATCGCTGCCAAAGGTGCTTCAACAAAGTACTGTGTAAAGGGTCTGAATACTTATGTAAATGTGATATTTCAGTTTTTATTTTTTCTAAATTTGCTAAACTTTCTAAAAACCTGTTGTTGCTTTGTCTTTATGGGGTATTGTGTGTAGATTGATGAGAAAAACAAAACAATTTAATCAATTTTAGAATAAGGCTGTAACGTAACAAAATGTGGAAAAAGTCAAGGGGTCTGAATACTTTCCGAATGCACTATATCTTGAAAACTTTATTGATGACAAGCAAAACATTTTGGGACTATGTCAAAGATAGTTTTTGGGTTGAGTTTTCCGTTAATTCTGCTTTGCACACAGGTCCTGTCACGATCGTTAGACGGAGTAGACCAAGGCGCAGCGTATGAACGAACATACTTTATTAATACTGAAACACAAACCAAAACAATAAACGATAACCGTGACTTCCAAAGTTAACACAACCACACGGAATAAACCCACAGGAACAAATCAACTGGAACAAGATCCATAAACTATTGTGGGAAAACAGCTCTATAAAATATGGTCCATCAGAGACAATCAGCAACAGCTGACACTCGTTCTCTGATTGGGAACCACTTCTGGCCAACACAGAAATCAATACCTAGAATAACCACACCCTGGCTCAACATATAAGTCCCAGAGCCAGGTGTGACAGTAACCCCGCCCCCCTACAGGCTCGGACTGCGACCGCGCCTGAACTAACAAACAAGGGAGGCTGGGTGGCATTTCCTCCTCGGATGCGGTTTCCGCTCCGGGCTAGACCACCACCCTCCAATAATCCCCCCATAGCGCCCCTGGTCCGGTCTGGCCCCGCTGGCTGGAGCTGAACTGGACATCGTAGGAGCGGATAGCTTCAGCTCCGGTGTGGAGCAGCTGACCGGTACCTGACCAGGCACCGGTGACCCAGGTACGGGTTGTGCCGGACTGACGACGCACACCCCTGGCTTGGTGCGTGGAGCAGGAACGGGCCGGACCGGGCTGACGATGCGCACCCCTGGCTTGGTGCGTGGAGCCGGAACGGGCCGGACCGGGCTGACGATGCGCACCCCTGGCTTGGTGCGTGGAGCAGGAACGGGCCGGACCGGGCTGACGATGCGCACCCCTGGCTTGGTGCGTGGAGCAGGAACGGGCCGGACCGGGCTGACGATGCGCACCCCTGGCTTGGTGCGTGGAGCTGGAACGGGCCGGACCGGGCTGACGACGCGCACCCCTGGCTTGGTGCGTGGAGCAGGAACGGGCCGGACCGGGCTGACGACACGCACCCCTGGCTTGGTGCGTGGAGCAGGAACGGGCCGGACCGGGCTGACGACGCGCACCCCTGGCTTGGTGCGTGGAGCAGGAACGGGCCGGACCGGGCTGACGACGCGCACCCCTGGCTTGGTGCGTGGAGCAGGAACGGGCCGGACCGGGCTGACGACTCGCACCCCTGGCTTGGTGCGTGGAGCAGGAACGGGCCGGACCGGGCTGACGACTCGCACCCCTGGCTTGGTGCGTGGAGCAGGAACGGGCCGGACCGGGCTGACGACTCGCACCCCTGGCTTGGTGCGTGGAGCAGGAACGGGCCGGACCGGGCTGACGACTCGCACCCCTGGCTTGGTGCGTGGAGCAGGAACGGGCCGGACCGGGCTGACGACTCGCACCCCTGGCTTGGTGCGTGGAGCAGGAACGGGCCGGACCGGGCTGACGACTCGCACCCCTGGCTTGGTGCGTGGAGCAGGAATGGGCCGGACCGGGCTGACGACTCGCACCCCTGGCTTGGTGCGTGGAGCAGGAACGGGCCGGACCGGGCTGACGAAGCGCACCCCTGGCTTGGTGCGTGGAGCAGCAACGGGCCAGACCGGGCTGGCGACGCACAGCGTAGGCTTGGTGCGAGGAGCAGGAACAGGCCGGACCGGGCTGGCGACGCACACCGTAGGCTTGGTGCGAGTGGCAGGAACAGGCCGGGCCGGGCTGGCGACGCACACCGTAGACTTGGTGCGAGTGGCAGGAACAGGCCGGGCCGGGCTGGCGACGCACACCGTAGACTTGGTGCGAGGAGCAGGAACAGGCCGGGCCGGGCTGGCGACGCACACCGTAGACTTGGTGCGAGTGGCAGGAACAGGCCGGGCCGGGCTGGCGACGCGCACCGTAGACTTGGTGCGAGGAGCAGGAACAGGCCGGGCCGGGCTGGCGACGCGCACCGTAGGCTTGGTGCGAAGGGCAGGAACAGGCCGGGCCGGGCTGGCGACGCGCACCGTAGGCTTGGTGCGTGGAGCAGGAACAGGCCGGGCCGGGCTGGCGACGCACACCGTAGGCTTGGTGCGAGTGGCAGGAACGGGCCTTACCGGGCTGACGACTCGCACCGTAGGCTTGGTGCGAGGAGCAGGAACAGGCCGGGCCGGGCTGGCGACGCGCACCGTAGGCTTGGTGCGAGTGGCAGGAACGGGCCTTACCAGGCTGACGACTCGCACCGTAGGCTTGGTGCGAGGAGCAGGAACAGGCCGGGCCGGGCTGGCGACGCGCACCGTAGGCTTGGTGCGGGGAGCAGGAACAGGCCGGGCCGGGCTGACGACTCGCACCGTAGGCTTGGTGCGAGGGGCAGGAACAGGCCGGGCCAGGCTGGCGACGCGCACCGTAGGCTTGGTGCGGGGAGCAGGAACAGGCCGGGCCGGGCTGACGACTCGCACCGTGGGCTTGGTGCGAGGGGCAGGAACAGGCCGGGCCGGGCTGGCGACGCGCACCGTAGGCTTGGTGCGGGGAGCAGGTACAGGCCGTGCCGGGCTGGTGACGCGAACCGTAGGCTTGGTGCGAGGAACAGGAACAGGCCGGACCGTACTGGGAACACACACCACTGGCCTTAACCGGGGATCAGGAACGGGCCGGACCGGACTGGCAATACACCTCAGTACCTCTCGCCGTGCCTCTACAGCTTCCTTCCCTCCTCTCACCAATGGCTCCCGTAACCCGGTGGCCTTCTCTCCTCGTCTCCCATTTCGCCCTGTGGCAGCCTCCTGCTGCCCAGTCGCCCATGCCGTGTGCCCCCCCCTAAAAAATTTCTGGGGTTGCCTCTCGTCCGTCCGACGACGACACTGTTGACGCCGTTGCTCCTCTCTCGCCAGGGCCTTAATCTTAGCCCATGGCCCCTTACCCCCGAGCATGTCCTCCCAGGACCACGATTTGCCCACCTGGGCCATCGCCAACCTCTCCAGCTCCTTTCCCGGCGCTTCCTCCCATGTCCAGGCCGCCTGCTCCTGGACACGCTGCTTGGTCCTGGTATGGTGTGATCTTCTGTCACGATCGTTAGACGGAGTAGACCAAGGCGCAGCGTGATGAACGAACATACTTTATTTAATGACTGAAAACACGAACCAAAACAATAAACGATACCGTGACGTCCAAAGGTTAAACACAACCAACACGGAATAACCCAAAAGGAACAAACCAACTGGAACAAGATCCCACAACTATTGTGGGAAAACAGCCTCTATAAATATGGCTCCCAATCAGAGACAACCAGCAACAGCTGACACTCGTTGCCTCTGATTGGGAACCACTCTGGCCAACACAGAAATACAATACATAGAATAAACACCCTGGCTCAACATATAGAGTCCCAGAGCCAGGGTGTGACAGGTCCCTTCACATCTGTGGAATTCACTGGGATGGAAGCTCAGGGGATATCTCACCAGGTGCAATCTTATGAAAAGATCCAGAGTGAGAGTGTCTCAAGGGCCTGTCAGACCAGGGCTCTTGACCTTGCGTCAATCAATCCGATTATCATCCAGTGTCTGATTTTTTTTACTGAGGAGTATGTCCAAACTTCTGTTGTATTATTTCAAATCAAATCAAATGTTATTTGTCACATGCGCCGAATACAACAGGTAGACCTTACAGTGAAATGCTTACTTACAAGCCCTTAACCAACAATGCAGTTTTAAGAAAAATAAGTATTTACTAAAATAAACTGAAGTAAAAAATTTAAAATAAATAAACCTTTTATCTTCTTGAGAAGACCGATTTTCAGGATGTCTCCTGGTCTGACAAACAACGCTGTAGCTCTGCCACTTTCCACCGCAGATGCGTAAGGCCAACATAGGCAAATGTGGTGTATTGAGACGCAGCCCATGCAAAATCAGATATCTAGCTTTAACTGATGGATTTTGATGGGGATTTTTTATTTTTTTATTACATTGACACAGGTGAGTCAATAAACTCTTACAGCTGCAATATGTAACTTTTTGGGCAACCCGACCAAATTCAGATAGAAATGTGTGTAATAGATCTGTCATTCTCATTAAAAGCAAGTCTATGAAGTGGTAGATCTGTACTATGCTGCACTATTTCTATGCTTCCCGTCCTTAAGTTTCGATTTTGCGTCTATTACTTCCGGTTTTGTACACCAGCTTCAAACAGCTGAAAATAAAATATTTCTGGTTATGGAAAATATATTTCACAGCGGTTTAGATGGTACAATGACTCTCTACACTATACTGGCTTGTTTTGTCACATAAACTGAAATTAGGCAAACTATTAGAATCATAGCAACCAGGAAATGGCAGAGCGATTTTCTGCATAGTGCCTCTTCAAGCATGAGTATCTCTTTGAGGAGCTTGGTTGCAGAGCCCGGCTATGAGTAATCTACCTACACTGATTCTGTCTCACAGGTCATGAAGGCACTGCTTGCAGATATGTGCATGGAGATTGTACGGTTTATATCCGAGGCCATCCTGGAGGTCATAATCCCTGCAATTGTATGTTTTGTACGAGCCTGAAGGTCTGCAAAAGGGGCAGTGGCAAGTCCTCCTCAAGGTCTCTTATGCCCACATCAAGCTCCTCTCCTAATGGGTATGTTCAATAGTTCTGTAACCTAATGGGAACTATGTTTCACCTAACTATTCAGATGCCAATTTTGGGAAAATATGTTTTGTTATCTGTATAACATTTTTCTCATAATGACCAATTTGACTGACTACTGAATTATGTATTAATGTGACTACAGTGTCTATTATTGAAGATGGAATGCTGTATTTGTATTCTCAAAGGTTTCAGACAGTGTTGCCAAGGACTCAGGGAGATGATGAGTGTACAGTAGATCATCTGAGCCACACAGTGACTTTCTGGTGATCACTGAGGACAGTCTCCTCAGTAGTGTTGAGGATTCCTTCAAAGTCACTGAGCAATGTCCTTGGCATCCAAAGAGAAGGCCAGGTAGACACTCAAACACTATCCCGGGTTATTGTTGGATAAGTGTCAAAGAAGGTCAACTCCATAATCTCTGTGGCCATCCAAACTCCCATCTCTGGGCAAATGTCCCCTGTCGTTTTTGCCAGTGGTGGTGTCTCCAGCACCAAGGTGGTTGAGAAGATGGTGTCTGGCGTCTCCATTACCTTTCAGATGTTCATTCATGAACAGAGCGTGGAGCAGAGTGTTGTTTTCATAGAGGATGGTGTTAAAGCGGATATTACAGTACATATTTAACAGGACAGGTCATGACGGCCCTCAGTGACACTGTTTTGATCTGCAGCGATAAGGAGGAAAATGATCTGCAGCGATAAGGAGGAAAATGATCCCGTGAAGAGGTAACTGCTTTCTGTTGTTGCTGACAATATGAAGATGTTAGCATCTCGTAAAAGTTCTGAGATGATGATAAAACAAGGAGAGAGCAACCTCAATATCAAAGGTGCCAAAGGTCTGCTGTGATTGACCCTGAGGCCTCTGAGTTGGTAAGTTCTTGGTTTCCAACATGGACAATCTTACCCAGTCCATCAGAACATGCTGCTCTCCAGCACAGAGTGAGCAGATATTTCTTGAAAACCATCAGAGAAAGATCTGGTCTTGCACTGTTGGTTGTAACGACAGCATAAAGAATACGCTGAAGAGGCTTCTTACATGTCCAGAAAAACTGGATCTCTTAAGTACATTTCTGAAGCCCACAAAATATTATTTAACAAAGTCTCCAACTTTGTACCCGGACGTTGGTCATTCCAGTAATGGTGAGACTGACTTATCAGACTCCATTTCTTGTAAACCACTTGATCATTTCATAACCCCCAGTGTGTCCTCCTCATCCATGAATGAACAAAAAGGACAACGTGAGAGCCCAAAACCTCTCTCAAAAAGTATTTACAAGACCAAGTTCTCCTTGACACCACAAAAGAGATTGCCAGCCAGGTTCTGCTTTTGTTTAAGACAGAGGTGATGGAGGAATGCTCATCTTCTGTTGAAGGGAGTGATTCTGAAGTGTCTCTGGAGGCCATTATTTTTGATTTATGTATATACTGTATTCTATTCTACTGTATTTTAGTCAATGCCACTCCGACATTGCTCGTCCTAATATTTATATATTTCTTAATTCCATTATTTTACTTTTAGATTTGTGTATTGTTGTGAATTGTTAGATACTATTGCACGGTTGGAGCTAGGAACACAAGCATTTCGCTACACCTGCAATAACATCTGCTAAATATGTGTATGTGACCAATACAATTTGATTTGATTTGATTTGATAGAGATGTCAAAATTTTTCAAAAGACTGTAACGCCATCTTTATCCATCTCTTCTCTGCACACCAGTTCTGCAGCCTCCAACATCGTCATAACCATCGCTAAAGACCTTAATAGCTTCACCCAGATGACTAAATTGTCTGATGCTGTAGTGTCTGGCCAGTTAGAGAGACCCCTGTCAGCTTCAAGCCTTCCTGTCAGTGTTCACAACAGGAAATAGCATTTGGCCAGGCACTGTTAACCTTTTCAACAGTATGTTAACCAAGGTCAAGGAATATTTTGCCCAGCAACAACTGTTCCCCCTAGACTATGTGTCTGAGGCCCCCAAACATGCTGAATCTGCACGCAGAACACCTACTCCTACACAAATGAGTGGCAGTGAACATGAAGGCAGCCAGACCAGCATGGTAACTCATTCCAAACACTCTAATGACAATCCAGAGGAGAGTGTCCATGTCAGAGAGGTTGAGGACCTCAGAGGAAGGTCTATTGACTTGTTCCATCGTGGGCTCCATGTTGGAGGATGTTGACATGGTGAGTACGGACAGTAGGGATGGCCTGGGGACACATCGCCCATCCTCCACAAAATCCTCCCTGTCGATCATCTCTGCCAAAGCCAGAGGTTCCCAGAGTGATTTTATGAATTCTCTGCCAGGCACTCCAGTCCCCAGTGAGTGGCCTGTTGAAAGTTATTGTCCTATCATTATGAGTTCGGTCATTGAAATGAGTGACTCCTCAACTCATTCCGAAGTGTCAACAAACGATATAAGGAAAACTATCTCTGCCATAGTTGACACTGTTATGGAGGTCATTCCAAGAGAAGATCCTGAACACGTAGACACAGCAGAGGATGTCACTTCTCTTATAAGAAGACTTGCGAGTCTCAGCTCCAGGGAGGGTCTTCACAACTTCTCATATGAGCTCAAAGTTTATGAGCTCATAAAGAGACAAAACAGCCCCCAGGTTATTTTTGTGCCAGCCAGCAAAAGCGTGTCTGACTCGATTCTTTTGAAGCTGAAGACAGGATTGGATACTTCTGAAGAATCCAGGGAGTTTCCATCTGAGCTTGTGTACTCCTTTGCTAAGGAGTCAATAAAACATCTACTACAGAAGATTATCATCTGGCTTCCTCCACCATCTCAAGTATCAGATTTCTGCCAAACTATCATCTCTGATGGTTCTCTGTAGGACACAAGTGTGCTTATCCAGAGCAGTTCTGCCATCTCCATTAGAACCTCACAGGTTTACTGTTACACAGAGAGCCTGTTCACCAATATAATGGTCAATCAAGTCATGGATACCTGGTCTGTGGCATCCGATTCATCAGAGGAATTAGCAGAGCTGATTAACAGAATCAATGGATCTTCCTCAACTGATGCTGGAACACCTGACTCTGGAAGACAGGCTCACATGACCAACAGGAGTCGGTCTAGTGAAAAATCATTGCCTAGGCCCTCTCTGTCTGGCAGCAGCACACCCAACTGTGGAACTTTGGATTTTGAAGTTTTAGGAGAAGTGGAATCCAAGATGGATGACAAAGATGTGAAGATGTCTAGTGTCTCTGTGCAATCATCAACTCATCAACAAACCAGCCATGGACTCTGCCACAAATATGACTTCAAGCAGCCGAGACAATGCCAGTGATACATCTTCCCCAAATCTGCCATTTGACTCCACTAGCAATGACTACTCCTCTTTGATCATTTTACTGATTGTTAGACTGCTGTCAACGTTCTGCCCAGTCACATTACTAGAATCCTCTGACATTAGTGAAACATCAAGAGTTCTCATAAATAGGATTCTGTCAGAGTTCTGTGGCACCCCAGGCCTTGAACCAACTCAAGTCTATCCCCAGAATCTGAAAATCTAAAAGGTTTTCAAGACTGTCTCCAAAGGGCTTCTTTAAGAATTTGTGTCCGAGAAGATGCTCCAGGTTGCAATGAAGTCAACAGATTCTGCATTTGACGATGCCCTGGTCAAATCATTAACTAGGGAACTACTAACCAAATGCAATAAGGCTAGCTCTTCACCTCCCTCCATGACTCAGTTGTCCTGAGACAATGCACTTGGCATCGATGAGGTAGGTAATTCTAGGCCTCCAACGACTGGTGAAAAGGAAAAGAAGAGAGCAAGATTCAGCTTTCTCTGTGGACTCTACCTGTTTAAGTCATAAAAATATACAAAAAAATAATATCTAGATTATTTTACGTACAGTATGATGGTAAACACTAATACTATGCCTTTTGTGTGCTATTTCTCCCGCTGTACAAATGACTGTTTGTTACCCAGCATTCAAAGAAGGTCAACAAGAGGAACTACTGCACTCCAAAACCTTCCCAGAACCAGATCCCTGCCGTCAGTGAAACAGGTATGTCAATACACTCAAATGTACTTCTCATCATAAATTGAGGGTATGCCTTAGATTATACTGTAACAATTGTGCCTAACCCAGCATCAACATTAGGAGATAAAATGTGTTCTGTATGTTTTTTGAGTCCTCCTTCAAAAACAAGATACTACACCTCAAGGGTTTATCTTACCTACATTTGTAAATTATATATAATATTAAAATAATAATAATAATGCAATACTAATTCTTCACATTAACTAGGCTCAGTTAAAGAAAATAAAAAGTGTTACGAAACCAATAACTAGCCTACGGATATTGTTGCACTCGCTTTGTCTAGGGGTCCTAGGCCTAGTTACATGGTGTGTAACCCGAATGAATGTATTCATTTATGTGAGAAATCAGCATTTGTTGACTGTTTTGGATGCACATGTGCCCAGGGAGACACCAACCTTACCTTAGGTCCAGGGCCAGCTCTGTCTTACATTTACATTTACATTTTAGTCATTTAGCAGACGCTCTTATCCAGAGCGACTTACAGTTAGCACATTCATTATTTTATCGAACCCACAACCCTGGCGTTGCAAACACCATGCTCTACCAACTGAGCTACATCCCCTGCTGGCCATTCCCTCCCCTACCCTGGACGACGCTGGGCCAATTGTGCGCCGCCCCATGGGTCTCCCGGTCGCGTCTTGACTCCTTTGTGTCGGCGAGCCCAAGCGGATTGTTATGTTCAAATGGTGACGAAAAACAAATATATACAAAAAGGAAAAACCACGAACAGGCATGCGCAAACTAAAGATTCAAAACCAAACGAAAGGCCTCATGGCCAACAATCCAACCTGATGTGCTTATCAACCAGGCTCAGCATTTGGACAAGGTTGCGGCTCCCCCTGGGGGATGGAGTGTGGAAGTGGTAGTAAACTGTAGTGTGCTGTCTGAACTATCTAACCTAATCCATAACAAATGTTTTATTTGTATTTATGTTCAGCAATTGTCAACGATCAAGATGGGCAGCAATGGGCAAAGCCCTGTCTAGTCCCTTTACTTCCTGCTCTAACAGGAGGACCACCTAATCTATATTTCAAAATAAATATTTGAAATAAACTGAATTGCATTAATTCTTCATGTTGAGTGTTTTTCATAACAAATTATTAGATGATATATCCAATCAAATCAAATTTTATTTGTCACATGTGCCGAATACAACAGGTGTAGACCTTACCGTGAAATGCTTACAAGCCCTTAACCAACAATGCAGTTTTAAGAAAAATAAGAGTTAAGAAAATATTTACTAAATAAACGAAGTAAAAAATAAAAGAGCAACAATAAAATAACAATAACGAGGCTATATACAGGGGGTACCGGTACCGAGTCAATGTGCGGGGGTACAGGTTAGTCAAGGTATTTGAGGTAATATGTACATGTAGGTAGAGGTAAAGTGACGATGTATATATAATAAACAGCGAGTAGCAGCAGAGTAAAAAAAAAAAGGGGGGGGGGGGGTAGCCATTTGATTAGCTGTTCAGCAGTCTTATGGCTTGGGGGTAGAAGCTGCTAAGAAGCCTTTTGGACTTGGCGCTCCGGTACCGCTTGCCGTAGCAGAGAGAACAGTCTATGACTAGGGTGGCTGGGGTCTTTGGCAATTTTTAGGGCCTTCCTCTGACACCGCCTGGTATAGAGGTTCTGGATGGCAGGAAGCTTTGCCCCAGTGATGTACTGGGCCATACGCACTACCCTCTGTAGCGCCTTGCGGTCGGAGGCAGAGCAGTTGCCATATCAGACGGTGATGCAACCAGTCAGGATACTCTCGATGGTGTAGCTGTATAACTTTTTGAGGATCTGGGGACCCATGCCAAATCTTTTCAGTCTCCTGAGGGGGAATAGGAATTGTTGTGTCCTCTTCCCGACTGTCTAGGTGTGTTTGGACCATGATAGTTTGTTGGTGATGTGAACACCAAGGAACTTGAAGCTCTCAACCTGCTCCACTACAGCCATGTCAATGAGAATGGGGCGTGCTCGGCCCTCCTATTCCTGTAGTCCACAATCATCTCCTTTGTCTTGATCACATTGAGGGAGAGGTTGTTGTCCTGGAACCACACTGCCAGGTCTCTGACCTCCTCCCTATAGGCTGTCTCATCGTTGTCGGTGATCAGGCCTACCACCGTTGTCACGCCCTGACTCAGAGGACGCTTATATGTTGAGTCAGGGTGTGTATATTCCTTGTTGTGATGTTCTATGTTGTATTTTCTATGTTTAGATCTAGTATGTCTAGATCTATGTTGGCCGGTGTGGTTCCCAATCAGAGGCAGCTGTCGCTCGTTGTCTCTGATTGGGGACCATACTTAGGCAGCCTATTGGCACTAGTGGGTTGTGGGATCTTGTTCCAGTTAAGGTATGTTGTGTTGTGCTGCCTTGGACTTCACGTTTCGTTTTGTTTGTTGTTTTGTCGTTGTGTTGAATATTTAATAAACATGTACGCATATCACGCTGCGCCTTGGTCCGTCCTGTCGATGAACGAACATGACAGAAGATCCCACCAAACGAGGACCAAGCAGCGTGCCCAGGAAGAGCGAATAGCCATGTCACAGGTGGGCAAATGGTGGTCATGGGAGGAGATATTTGCGGGGAAAGGGCCATGGGCGAAGGTAGATGCCCAGGCAGGAGAGGAGAAACGGCGCCAACCGTGCCGACGACGGAGACCCGAGAGGCAACCCCAAGAAAATTTTGGGGGGGCACACGGGGTGGATGACGAGGCTACAGGAGGCTAAAAGGGAGAAGGAAAGTGTAGAGGCACGGTGAGAGGAGCTGGTTAGGCAGCAGAAGGAGTGGTGCGTGTCGCCAGTCCGGTCCGGCCTGTTCCTGCTCCCCGCACTAAGCCAGTGGTGCGCATCGCCAGACCGGTCCGGCCTGTTCCTGTTCCTCGCACCAAGCCAGTGGTGCGCGTCGCCAGCCCGGTCCGGCCTGTTCCTATCCCTCGCACCAAGCCAGTGGTGCGCGTCGCCAGCCCGGCCCGGCCTGTTCCTGCCCCTCGCACCAAGAAAGTGGTGCGCGTCGCCAGCCCGGCCCGGCCTGTTCCTTTCCCTCGCACCAAGCCAGTGGTCCGCGTCGCCAGCCCGGCCCGGCCTGTTCCTGCCCTCGCACCAAGCCAGTGGTGCGCGTCGCCAGCCCGGCCCGGCCTGTTCCTGCCCCTCGCACCAAGCCAGTGGTGCGCGTCGCCAGCCCGGCCCGGCCTGTTCCTGCCCCTCGCACCAAGCCAGTGGTGCGCGTCGCCAGCCCGGCCCGGCCTGTTCCTGCCCCTCGCACCAAGCCAGTGGTGCGGTCGCCAGCCCGGCCCGGCCTGTTCCTGCCCTCGAACCAAGCCAGGGGGTGCGCGTCGCCAGCCCGGCCAGCCTGTTCCTGCCCTCGCACCAAGCCAGTTGGTGGCGTCGCCAGCCCGGCCCGGCCTGTTCCTGCCCCTCGCACCAAGCCAGTGGTGCGCGTCGCCAGCCCGGCCCGGCCTGTTCCCTGCCCCTCGCACCAAGCCAGTGGTGCGCGTCGCCAGCCCGGTCCGGCCTGTTCCCTCCCCTCGCACCAAGCCAGTGGTGCGCGTCGCCAGCCCTGCCCGGCCTGTTCCTGTCCCTCGCACAAAGCAAGTTGTGCGCGTCGCCGGCCCGGCCTGTTCCTGACCCTCGCACCAAGCCAGTGGTGCGCGTCGCCAGCCCGGTCCGGCCTGTTCCTACCCCTCGCACCAAGCCAGTGGTGCGCGTCGCCAGCCCTGCCCGGCCTGTTCCTGTCCCTCGCACAAAGCAGTGGTGCGCGTCGCCGGCCCGGCCTGTTCCTGACCCTCGCACCAAGCCAGTGGTGCACGTCGCCAGCCCGGTCCGGCCTGTTCCTACCCCTCGCACCAAGCCAGTGGTGCGCGTCGCCAGCCCGGTCCGGCCTGTTCCTGCTCCTCGCACCAAGCCAGTGGTGCGTGTGTCCAGTCCGGCACGGCCCGTGCCTGTTCCACCAGTGCCTGGTTCGGCACCGGTCAGCTGTTTTACTCCGGAGCCAGAGCAGTCCACTCCACCGGTGCCCAGTTCAGCTCCGGTCAGCTGCTCCACTCCGGAGCCAGAGCAATTCGCTTCTCCGGGGTCCAGTCCAGCTCCGGTCAGCGGCTCCACTCCGGAGCCAGAGCAGTCCGCTCCACCGGTGCCTGATCCAGCTCCGGTCAGCTGCTCCAATCCGGAGCCAGAGCAGTCCGCTCCACCGGGGTCCAGTCCAGATCCGGTCAGCGGCTCCACTCCGGAGGCAGAGCAGTCCGCTCCACTGGTGCCTGATCCAGCTCCGGTCAGCTGCTCCACTCCGGAGCCAGAGCAGTCCGCTCCACCGGGGTCCAGTTCAGCTCCGGTCAGCGGCTCCACTCCGGAGCCAGAGCAGTCCGCTCCACCGGTGCCTGATCCAGCTCCGGTCAGCTGCTCCACTCCGGAGCCAGAGCAGTCCGCTCCACCGGGGTCCAGTCCAGATCCGGTCAGCGGCTCCACTCCGGAGCCAGAGCA